GAATTTTTAATAAATTTAATTATAATTAACCAAAATTTTTGTGCATGCATCTACTAGAAAATCTATGTTAATTTGAATAAAGGTACGACCCGCAGTTTCACCCGGGTATTTGTATCCGGCACTCCTGTAATTAAGGTTGCACACCCCTGTTTTACAGCATTCAGTACAGCGATTGATTCAACCCAAATATAGGGAAATTTAAAATAAACAGTCTTGAGAAATTGAGAAAAACATATATTTTTGATTTTTAAACTTCAACTTTTTTATTGAAACACTTTGGTGGATATGTCTTTAAACTTTGATTAGAAACTTAGTCTAAAAAGCAACTATTCTTTGTAAGGTTGTCGTTTTTTTTTTTTAAATTCAATATTCGTCTTTTTGTCTTGACACCCTCGATGGTTTAGATATTTTCTTATTTTAAACTTCTGTGTCAAATCTTTTTCAATGTATTTAGTATACCTGGCTTCCTGTCTCGTGATTTTTCGAAAGGTTTACTCATTAATTAAATTAGGCCTATTGTGTCTTGGCAATAAAAAATAAACACTCTCACATTTTACTAACTCGAACTTCAACCTTTATTTATAGATGTTCTGGAACAACTGAGAAAAAGTGTCAAAGCAAAAGGTGAACTATTTATCTCATTTTGAATTGAACTAATTTTGAGACTGCTTTCAATATCTTTTACCAAAAAATCGAATCATAAAAATGTTATAAATTCATTATCACAAGCCAATAGCGTATGGCGTATAAAATTTATTGATTCCACAATTTCTTTAACTTGCTCTGCACATGCATAAGTTGAGTTTACCGGATGTAAATTAAGAATTAGCGTACGGCGATGGCTTATTATGGCTCTAAAATAGTAACGCCGGAAATTTAAATATATATATTTATATATTATTATATAAATATGTAAAGATGACCTCAAGACATGGGATAAATCAAGCAACAATTATTATTACAAACTATTTCGAGACCCAGTCAACTACGCGACTGCAAAATCAAGTTGTCAAAAGTTAGGAGCCGATCTTGCATCAGTGGGAGTAAGGAATGCTATCGTCCGCAGGTTGGTTGATTATTTTTGGAAACATCAAGTAGACATATTACTTGGCATATGAATTACTTAGATTTTAAAATACATTAGGATCTCATTAATCATGGCTATATGGAGCCACAGTCGGATTTTTAAAATACGCGGATTCTGAAATTGTAGTCAAATTTACAAAGCTTTCCTAATTAACAGTGTATCGAATTGCATAGCCAAAGCTTTTGTTGTTATTAAATGTTAAATTTTCTCGGAAATGTCGTCGGAGCCAAAATGTTTTCAACCCAGAATCGTTGAAGTTCGTTGAAGAGCATTTTTAAAATATGATGCCCAAAAGATTACCTCAATTTAAAGAATTTTAACTTTTTGATTGAATAATTTGAATATTCATTTTTATTTGCAGCAAAATACTCCAAATGGTAAAGTCAGGAGGAGAAAATACTTGGGTTGGCCTGGATGACATTGAACATGAAGGAAGATTTGTTTGGGCTGATGGCCTTATTTCAACAAGAGAGAATACCGATTGGACTGCTGGACAACCGGACGACTACGGAGAGAATGAAGATTGTGGAGAGTTCAATCGTGACCAAAACTGGAAGTTAAATGATTTCCGATGTTCAGAACGCCAATATTATATTTGCGAAAAAAGACGATTTCAAATGACATTAGTGAATGCGATTTCAATTAAAGATTTGTTATAGCGTGAGGTCTACCACGCCATAGCATGTATGTAGTAACGTAACTTAAAGTCGGTGGTCAAATCCGGCTCAATGGGTAACTCGATCTGGCCCGCCTGATGTTGCCACAACCAACTATAGAACCCCCTTTTTTTTTAGCTAAAAAAAATTGAAATTGATGAGATTGCGATTAAATTTAGTTTTGGCACGAGGCTTATTGTTTTCCACCTTTGCTTTTCAAGCACTGTAAATATTGTTCATAAAAAGTAACTTTTTACGTCACTCTTACATGGCCCGCCGGTCTACTTGGTCAAAATTTCTGGCCCCTGGTCCAAAAACCTTGCCCACCCCTGAGACGATGACCAGCGTTGAAAATGAAAATAATCGCAACCTACCTATTCTCAAATCTAATTGATTGTTTGGTTACCAGAACGTTTACATTTCAACAAATAATTTATTTCTTTGTTGAAAGTTTTATCTTCATAATTTTATTCTATATACATAATATTTAATCCCATTTTTATTCATGTTTGTTAAAATCCATCACATTTTTATAATTATTTTGTATATATTTGTTTCATATATAAATTTATGTTTTTCATCTTTCTTGCTTATTTTTTGATTCAATATTTAATCAAATTGATGCGTATATATATACAATAAACTATAAGTCTATACATAACTACTTTATATTTTGCATTCCAAATCGGCATATTATTTGTATTCTGATGGGGATATGAAAATAAAATTGTTTTGTATATAAAAGAGAAGCATGTGAAGCATGTCGAAAATCAATCAATAAATCAATCAAATCAGGGAATTCACAAAAACGAGCACAGTGAAAGAAAAAACGAGAATAAATTTATGCATTTGTCAGAATGAACAGGACAACAGCAAATTTATTGGTCTACTTGTCAGTAGGGCTGGCCATTTTTGAATACCTGCTGATTTCAGAAACGAATCGAATATTGTTTTCTAATCAAATCGAACCTGCGTACTTGGGAAATATGTAATTGTGTGAGACTTTTTTATTTCAATTGGTCCTCCAAACACATAAATTACTGAAAACTTAAAATTCATCACTCAAACAGTTCGCTACGTGTTTACATACAAAAAAAACATAATTTACCAATAACTCTCTATAAAATAAAGAAACAACATGCATTGTAAAAGTATGGCTCTAATAAAAAAAAATTTGGGTAATTCATCTCAACCTTTGGCGGCCAAAAAAACAAAGCGGCGACAATTCGAACTTTTCGTCCGAACCAATTCGAATAATTTACTATTTGATTCGATCAAAATATTCGATTAAAATGCCCAGAGTTACTTGTCAACTTGAGGTGAATACTTTTGAGCATTATTGTTAAATCAGAATCAAACATATGGTACTCTTTTACATATTGCAAATATTGAAATCTAGTTCAAAGATATTTGTCTAGTTATAAATCAAATTTTTCGGTGAGTTATAAACAAAATGCAAAAATCCTCAATTTTCTGAATTCAATACCAAAGAAATGCAAAATTAATTTACATGAAAATGATGAAAATGCAAATATTTGATTCATGATTAGATAGATTTAATACCTCATTACAATCCAAATTTTTCAGTGAGTTATAAACGAGATACATTTAATGCAAAAACACTTACTTCCTGAATTCAATAAGGATGTAAATAATAATTAAGAAACGAAAAAAACTCAAAAATAAATTTACATGAAAATGCAAATACTGAAGTCTTGATTTTGTCTAATAACCAAGAACATTAAATGACACTGAAAAAGGACTGAAATTGGCATAAAATCATGGCCCAACCCTAACCTGGTACACATACTATGTTCCGGTGTCCGCAATCTTTGTTCGCATACTACGGGAGTACCAAAAAAAAACCTTAACCGAAGGGCCGCGTTGAAACCTTCATCTTTGGTAAAATTTAATATTCAAAGTAATCCAAATGATTTTGAAGAATTATTTCAATATCAAATAATATCATTTAAACAAAGGATATTTTGGAATTAGTTTAAATGAAATTAAAAAAAAATCAAAATTTTGTATAAAGTTGTAAAAAATGTCCACAACTATCTCCTAGACAAGGGTGCGTACGAAATGGATTGGTCATTCCTGTTCTGGATAATATAGCAACGAGAATATCGGTTGGAAACCGACAACTTATCGATCGATAGTTAGGGGATCCCCCAAAACAGAAACTGCAGTTTCGATTCATCCGCTCTTGTAACTTGCGCACTGCGCATCGCACACACACACTCGGCGGGTTTCAAAATTCTCTCGCTTTACAAAAATCTAGATCACTATATCAATAATTGATTGATAACTCGCTAATTATACGACATAATTCGCCCAAAATCAATAAGCTTCTGGTCCGAGATAAGATGAATACACATGCAAAATCTGGAGCAGATTCAATCTCGCTTTCGTGAGATATCGCGTGCATCTAACAGACACACAGACAGACAGACATACATACAGACAAATACCTATCAATATACTTACCGATCTTAAGATCGATAAGTAATAAAGATGAAGTTAAATCGATCGACTCACTAGATGAATGAAAGTAAATAATGAGATAAAAACAGATGATAGTAAAGAACGAGCTAACAGAGCGGTGGTTCTCAAATGGCGGGGGCGCAGACGTAGACAATTTTCAATGGGCGTGGCACTATTCAAAAATAAAAATATATGCTAGATTTAATCTTGCCTGCCTTATTTTGGACATTCACTTTGTAAATTTACGTTTAACGTATTTTTAACGTGTTCTTTGAATAAAACATACTTTCGCCTTACTATAAGACAAGTTATTTTTGGCTTATTGTTAGCTGGTTATGTTTAAGGTGGGGTGCGAGCCTTGAAATAAGCCAAAAAGGTGGCGCGGCTAAAAAAGTTTGAGAACCACTGTAATAAAGCGTGATTAAACAGCTAAAGTTGTTAACAGTTTCAAAATCAATACCAAAAGCAGATAGAGTTTACTACATTAATGTCTGTGGTACAGGGGGAATCCGAACAAACAGTAACCATGATTTTATTGAAACTTTGCAAAAAACTTATTTGATACTTAAATTTTTGTTTGTAAATAGATGTGCCCGATAGTTTTAGCTAGGGCACTTCGTGACAAAGTTATGTTTAATCTAAGATATTATTCAGGATATGGCTCTTTTTTTTTGTGTGTGTGTGTGTGGGGGGGGGGGGGGGGGGGGGGCGTTTTTATCAGTAGTTGTGTGTAACTAACCAAGTGATAAGAATACCAACAGAAACAATTATTTTTAAACACGTGCCTCGCATATATATTTCATGTCTCTGGTGCATGAAACATCGTTTAACTCCCATATATCCACAGGCCAAAAATGTACACAATCTTCGTCACCTCCCGAATTATCTGGCTGTTCTGCATACCAATCCGTGTTACCTTCAGTTGAATCTACGCCATCGGCCCAGATGAATTTACCTTCAAATTTTCTTAAACCAATCCAAGTGTGATAGTTGCCAGTTTTGATCAATGGCATTATCTCGCTGTAACAAAAATAAAAAGAAATTAAAATTGTTTTATTTGTTTACTTTGGTGATATTATTATCCTTGTATGGTACGGAGACAAAACCATTGACGCAGTTGCAAGGAAAAATAGTTTAATTTAGCATAATAATCTAACATCTAACTTTTGCCACTTGGTATAGAACCATAATTTCTTTAAATACCACAATTCTAGGAAGATAAGGAAGACCGGAATTCACAGCGCGTGTGTCGAAAAAGGTTGAGTTTGCAAATTGTACATACCACAACGATCTTGGTAAACCCTAAAACGCTTTGGCAGCTCAAAACCAGTCTTTTTTGAAGAGAATACAGAAGCCTCAAATATATACGCCAATACCACAATGCTGCTTTCACATCGACCTCCTGGTAGGCCTCGTTGTGCGATGTTCTATTAAGTCCATAGTTTATTGAAAATTTTTGTGTTTTTTTACCCTTTTTCTTCAATGTAAAACGCAAAATTTGACTGCCGCCCTTCATAAGCATGAAAAACTAATTAAAAAGATTAATAGTTAGCAACGATGCAATTTTGACTTGTGATACCATCATAGTTTAGTCCAGAGGTGTGCAATCTTTAATACAGGAGGGCCAGATACAAATAACTGAGTGAAACCGCGGACCGCAATTTTGGGTATTAATCTTATGACATACGTTAATTTAGCTATAGATAATAAATTAGATTCGGATATAGGTTTGGCAACGCGAAGAAATTTGAATTACTCGCACCTGATTAAACTAAATTAAAAATCTGTTTTCTGGGCCGCCCACCATGCAGAATTGACATTTCTCCGCGGGTCGCCTAATTTTTACTTGTGGGCCATATTTGGCCCGCGGGCCGCTGGGTGCACACCCCTGGTTTAGTTTAACGCTTTGACCACTAGGTCACCGCACTCACTATAATGCCTATCTCACATAAATCTTACAAATACATAAAGTTGAAAATAACTTCTGGCTCAAGAAACTACGAATTCACTTGCGCAAATGCATAGAAAGAGGAAAGTTAATTAGACTCGCGTAACCCCAACTGATAGTTGAAAATATTCAATTTTCAAATTCTCCCATTACCTGCGGACGGTAGGGTCTCTAACTCCAGCAGATGCCAGATCCGCCCCTCGTTTCTGGCAGTCTGATTTTGCTGTTGCGTAGTTGACTTGATCGTTGAATAGTTTGTAGTAGAAACCGTTGCTTGCTCGGTACCAGCCCTCGAACTCTGTTTGAAACACAAATAAAGAACTATGATATGTAGATGTTTCTTTTATTGATCTTACAAAATATTAGTCTTATAGAGAAGCACACCGTGCTATGAGTGGGAACATGCCGTTGCTCAGCACGGTTTCGCAGGCTCGAATCCCGTGAGGATAATTCTGTAGTCATGTGCAGATTTTATAAAGTGGAACAGTTTGTTTGCGCGCAGTGTTTTATTCACTCCTTCTAACTTAACTGGTGTGTAGCGCGGCGATGGCCGAGAGGTTAAAGCATGGGTGGGACAGGTTTTTGGACCCGGGGTCATGAAATTTGCCCATCTTCCCTGGTGGGCCATGTAAGTTTGATGTAAAAGATGTGAAAAAAAAAATTCATGAACAATATTCAGAGTGTTACAGAAGCAAACGCGGAAAACAATAAGCATCGTGCAAAAACTGAATTTAATCGCAATCTCAACGAATTTCCTTGAGTTATTTTAAACTTAAACATCAAAATTTGGTTTAGTTTGGTTGTGGCAGCATCAGGCGGGCCAGATTAAATTACCCAACGGGATGGATTTGGCCCGCGGGCCGTAGTTCTGGGTTAAAGCGTCAGGTTGGCTGTGTCGTTACACATTTTGGGTTCAATTTACATATTATAAGAATTGTGAAATCAATTGCTTCTATACGACATACGCTCTTTGCTTGTGATAATAAATTTATAAAATTTTTATGATTCGATTTCTCGGTAAAATATATTGAAAACAGTCTCAAAAGGAGTTCAATTTATAATGAGATAAATAGTATACCTTTTGTTTTGACACTTTTTCTCAGTTGTGCCAGAACATCTATAAATAAAGGTTGAAGTTTGTGTTAGTAAAATTGAGAGTGTTTATTTTTTATTGTCAAGACACAATATAGGCCTGATTTTATTAGTGAGCAAATTGCAGCAAACAACGCAGGAAGCCTGGTATACTATAAATACAGAACTTCAGAAATGAGAAAATGTCTAAACTATTGAGATGTCAAGACAAAGAGGGCTTTTGAGGCGGAATTTCTAATCATACTTCAAATACATATTTTTATTAGTGAGTAAATATTTTGAAAAATCATTTTTTTTTTCTTAAAAAACTTTTTTTTTTTTTTCACCCTATTTGGTTTGAAGCTTCCGGAGTACAAATTGTAATTGTAAATATTGTAATATATTAATCATTGTATGTGATTATACTCAATTTTCCCTCCTTAGAAAGAAGTTTTTTCGACACATCAGATTTAACACCATTTAACACCGCCACTCAGATTAATGGAAAAGTAATAGAAATATAAAATTACCGTCAGCACTGGGATTTTTACAATTTCCAATAGAAACCCATCGTCCATTCTTCCATTTTGTATAACAATAACCATCTGAATAAAAATACACATGATACGTATTTAGATGTGACATGGTCCATCAAAATACTCGGAAAATTATTCATTTTTATTCGGAGCATTCGCTGCTCCGAACAAGTTAATAGCGTAGTGTATGTACAAGGTTGGGGTTAGGCCATAATTTTATTCCGTTTTTCCTTGGTTTAGTTCTACTACGATATGGGGGTACCTTTGTTAGCCAAGTGGATATACCACCTGCCCATAAGTTTCATTTCTTTCATACAACTTGATGTAAAGTAGGCGAACAAAATTAGTTATCTCCATATCGGTACACACACCTTTGGAGCGCCACGAACATGGCCTCACACAAAAAGTCACTGCTACGTAAAGACTATAATATATCCGGTTCGCCATAGAGTTACCAATATATTACGAACTGGTTCAGGTGGGAATCTGCGATGCCAACATAGTTGAGTCTAACGCTTAACCGGTAGGTCACCGCACCCACTCGTGCCTACTTATCGCAATAATATAAAAAATAAAAATTAACACAAATGTCAAAAATTAAAAACATTACCTCCTCCAATCAACGGTGTATTGATGATGAACAGGAAGAGCGTTCCTATAATGCATAGATCCATTTTCTCGATAACTTTTTGATCTAATTTACCTTTGTAAGTAGCGTTTCCACGCCCAACTCACAGTATAGCCGATACTGCAATGAAAGTAGGTAATAATAAAACTTAATTTGAGTCACCTATTTTCACAAAATCTATGTAAATTGATTTACGATTCTTTGTTATTAAATTCAGGAAGTTGAGAATTTTTGCATTTTATTTATAACTCACATAAAAATTGATGTACTGGGTATGGGACAAATCTCTTCAATCTAGAATTCATTATTTGCACTATACAAAACAATGCCATATGTTTGATTTGATTTGAAATTTGTGTAATGCTCAAAAGTATTCACCTCAATACAGCACGTCCGAGCTGAGCATTTTATATCGAATCTAATATTAAATTATTCAAATACCTAAAATACGCAATTATTCGAATACGCAAAATAAAAGAATTTACTACCATAAAACAACTTCTCCCAGTACACACGTAAGCTGAGCTGCAGTTCAATTCTTATTCTGGTTAAGCGTAACACAGTCTCATCTGATTCGAGGTCTCAAGCCTAGACTAAAGTTTCCATCTGGTGAGACATTAAGCCACGGAAAACTACACCGCTTGCGAACTATGTCACAGCCGGTGGGAGTATATTCTCAATGCGTATATATATAACGGAAGTTTAGATCAAGAATATTCTTTAGATCATCATAAGTTCATGCTCAGATCATGCCAAATGGAGACTTACTCTATCATTGGACACGGAAATCATTACAACATACCATTCGTGTTTTGTTATTACGACGCACATGAGTAATGCTATATAGGCTAGGTCCGATAATACAAGTGTAATAATGGGGGGAATTTTGAATTCTCATTGAATTTTGAATTGTACATAAAAAGTAAGTTCAGTCAGGCTAGGTTCGAACCCTAGGCTATTCCGCAAGCTTTTGACGAACCTTAAATTTTTAAACTAAGAGCGCAACCTGAACTTATTAAGGGTAAGCCGATTTTGTACAAATTTATAGAAAACGTAACTATCTTTTTATTAGACAGAATGTGAATTCGTTGCCTTACAGTTGAGCATATGTTGATTTTTCGGGTAGAATTTGAAGGTCGTGCTTTGTCAAGAGAGTATCAACCATCGAAAGAACCCCTGGTTGCGCCATTGGCTGAGGCAGAATAAAATGCAACAAACTGTAAACTTTATTCATTTATTAGTTAGTGACACTTCTGCTGCTGTTTTTCGGTGACCAACTTAGAGATAATCTTGTCTAGGATGGCATATTTCACGGAAAAGGAATTGCAAAGAGTTTCTGTAGAAAGAAAACTTTGAACCACTCTGAAATTGCGGTGCAATCTTAGATACTAATTGGCAGTATTTCCATACCCATTGGTATGTCACAATGGCGTCGACGGAAAGGGCTGAGCTGGCATTTTCGATTACCTGATGATTTCAGAATCAAATCGAATATTTTTTTTTATTCGAATCTCGTATACTTGGGAGTCAATGGGAGATATGTAACTGCATGCGACTTTTTCATTGTAATTGGTCCTATAAACAAATGAATTACTGAAAACATAGAATACGTCATTAAGACCAATTGCGTAGCGTTCACGCATAATAACAAAACACTTATTTGTCAATAACTCACTATAGAAAATTGTCATATGTCAGAATTGCATTGAAAAAATATGCCTACAATAAAAAAAAAATTGGGTAATTCACCTCGACCATTGGCGGGAGGTAATAAACAAGATTGTGGCGATTCGAATAATTTACTATTCGAATATTCGATTCGAAGTGTCCAACCCTACTCGTTGGCAAAAAGAGTTTTTTTTTGTATAAAGTTGAGTCGATGGAAAGTACAAAACGGCAACATTAGTGATACAGAATTTGAAATTCTGCATCGAAAACATTGGTGGCTCAAGTCATACATCTCACAAATCTCAACATGCCGTCAGATGGGTATAAAAGCATTTGCCTATTTTTTGACAGAAACAGAGATACGATATGTAAAAGCGTCTATGTGCTATATTAAGGTTTTCGACGGGTGTAATTCGAACGTGCCCTAATTTCGCAAAATTGACTTGTTCGCAAAATTGAGCTACGCTTTATTATTAGGGTATAAATAACATGTCGTTTACGAAAATATTCAGGTTCGCAAAAACAACTTTAGATACAATGAGATCAAACGGAGATACGTCCAAGAGCGTGACATCTCTCATTGACAGGTTTCATAAAATATTCATCTGCGTAATACTACACATAAATTAGCTATTCTATGAATTATCTGATGTTGAAATTTGAATATTTGCCTCAAATTATAGTTATTTTTACATATTCATTTGGCTCGGAAATAGAAATAATTCATATAATACACGAAAAGTTCACAGGATTTTCGTCGAACCCCTGGTACAGCTCCACCGAACCCCAGGGGTTCGATCGAACCCAGGTTAAGAAACACTGATGTATTGGCTTATTACTTATCGATTTTGATCGGTAAGTATGTTGATAAGTATTTGTCTGTCTGTTAGATGCACGCGATATCTCACGAAAGCGAGATTGAATCTGCTCCATATTTTGCATGTGCATTCATCATATTTTGGACCAGAAGTCTATTGGGCGAATTAAGTTTTGGGCAAATTATGTCGTATAATTAGCGAATTATTAATTAATTAGTGATGGGACACGAGGTATCACTATGGAGTAAGAGCGCTGTTTTGGGGGATCCCCTAACTTTCGATCGATAAATCTTCGTATCTGACCGATAAATCTTCGTATCTGACCGATATTCTCGTTTTTGTTTTGTTCTGTCTCCGTGTATACTGTTTTGGCAATGCTTGCACGTCAATATATCAATTAGGCTACAGACCTGTTCACATGTGAGTAGTGTTTTTTCCGATAATTTTTTTTATTAGTGTCCGTAACACCTTTTTTGCCGTCATAGTTCTGAGTTTGTTTGTATCTTAAACCACTTTATCACCTTTTCAGCAATGCCCAATCAGTGTAGTTTTCATGGATTGGTTTTTCTATGACGATTGTCTTCACTTTATCACATTTCACTCCCCTCATTGTCTTTGAATGAGATTGCATTGGTCATCATCAATGTAATTGTTAAAAGTACAACAGCCCGAAAGTTTAATACTATCGCGTATTTTGTTTGTTAAGTTTGGCCCAAGCCTCATTTAATTGGGTTTGACGTTTGAGTATGTCTGTATGTGTGTGCTGGTGGGCAGGTACATGATATTTCTCATGTTTAAAACTTCTTTAAAGGTTTTGCTTGCTCCCCAGAATTCTCCGTTTTTAATTTGTGTGTGTTATGGAGTTTTCAGAATAAACTATGTATCTATCTATTTACCATGCTTGATAATGCCGTATTGAAAAAATAGAAATAGCTTGTTGCAGTAATAACTCGAGGCCGATGTCATTCCTGTTGAATACAATACTAGACCATCGCGCTGTAAAGAAGGAAACAGCATTGCTGCAACTGTCGTTAGCGCAATCAATTTAGACATCTGCACGATGCTGATTTGAAATTCCTTTTTCCAGAGATTTTTTCCATTGGTCGAGATATGTAATTAAAGATTTTTTTTTTGGGGGGGGTAAGTTTTATTTTGAAATTCGCGAAGACGTAAATCAGAGAATAAAAGTTGAGAACTTTGGCTATACAAATATACAGAGATGAACGAATTAGTGTGGAGTTTAAATTCGATAACAACAGACAAAAGCGAGTTAGATTTCTGGGTATTTTTTGCATGGCTATTCAATTAGCACAGCCATTAATTTAAATAGGATACAAAATTATCTTTCAGTGGAAAGCCGAAGAAAAGCTACCATCGCTTGAAATTGCATCGAACTCGCTAACGCAAGACGATAAAACGAGAGAAATAGCTTGCTTGATTTCGGGTGATAGTCTGCGCGTTTTAGTTAGACGACAAACCGGATATTTATAACGAGCATTAATTAGTTGTAATGACGTCGTTTTTGGATGACGTAGTCAGGTCTCAGGTGGGGGTTAGAAATGATATATGCCACGCCAACTAGAATTACGAGACGGGGTTTAGTCAACCAGCAGACTAGGCCCTAAGTTTTCTGGGGTCTCATGTAGTTTCGTACCTAACGTACTTCTAGTGGGCGTAGCATAACAATTTTTTGATATGTCAATCCTAACCCTCATCTGATTACGCCATCCAAAAATTAAATCACTACGACATCACAATCACGTCATAGAGCTTGCCAAATATACGCACGATCGAGCGAAATGGCATTGGCGCCGACGATAAAGAACTGACTGACGTTATCGGTCTCTCTCCTATTGAAATCGTTGCGACGAGAAAACGAGAGAACTAACTGTTCGATTTCGGGTGCTCGTTTGCGCGTCTTGGATGGCAGTTTGTATAGTTTGAAGGGCTCTATTACGTCACTGTTAGGTCGTAATGACGTAATTTTTGGATGGTGTAGTCAGGTGGGGGTTAGGATTGATACGTGAAAAAATTGTCATGCTACGCCCACTAGAAGTATGTTAGGTAAGAAACTACATGAGACCTGTTTTTTGTAAAAAAAAAGCGGAAGTTATGTCGAAAAATGATTAGGGTCTAATGTAGTTTCGTACATAAGGGTCTGTGTAGTTTCGAACCTAACATACTTCTAGTGGGCGTAGCATGACAATTTTTTCACGTATCAATCCTAACCCCCACCTGAGTCCTGACTACGCCATCCAAAAATTACCTCACTACGACGTCACAGTGATGTAATACAGTAATAGAGCTCTTCAAACTATTCGAACTGTCATCCAATACGCCCAGACGAGAATCCGAAATCGAACAGCTACTTTCCTCGTTGCAACAATCCCGATGGGAGAGAGATCGCTGACGCTAGTCAGTTCTTTATCGTCGCCGCCGATGCCATTTCGGGCAATCGTTCGTGTATTTGGCAAGCTCTATGACGTAATTGTGACGTAATTTTTAAATGGCGTAGTCAGGTGGGGGTTAGGATTGACATGTCAGAAAATTGTTATGCTACGCGTACTAGAAGTACGTTAGGTACGAAACTACACGAGACCCCCTAAAGTACTCCTGGTGGGCGTAGCACGGATTCGCGTGCCAAAATCGTGAACGACAAAATTCTGCCATATTCTGACTAAAATTAAAAACAATGCTTTGTTACTTTTAAAGCAAAAATACACAATAATATACTTTTTAAACATGTACAAATAGAGTTGCCAACTTAATGTTAAACAATTCCGCGACACTTTAGTGTATAGAATTAAAAATTGATGCAACAGAAACTTGTGAAACACAAAATACATTAAAAGCAACATCAAAATCAAAGAGTGGTGATCGTGCAGCCTCATCTTCAGGAACTTCAAGCCTCTCAATAATTTTATCATAATGAAATAAACTTGTAAAATGTTGAATTTTTGAGGCATGAATGCAAAAAAAACACTGTAACGGGGAAAATGTGATTGACTAAGTAGATACCGGTAGTAATTATTTAACAAAAAACACAAAAAATCAGTCTTTCTGGTATTTAAATTTGTATTTTTTTTTGTAATTTTGCTGCTTTAAGAAGATGTTTGTCTTTGCTGATAAACTCATATGCATGACATATGAAAGTTCAATTTCATCATTAGTTCAGCTTTGACGAGATTAAAGTTTAGTTTGTTTCTATGGTTGGTCGTTGGTCCAAAGCGTTTTCATAATATTGAACATTGGGACCAGCTAGGTTGCTAACAATATTGAAATCAATTTACAGTTGGTTAAGTATTGTGTGACTGTATGGTATTTTTCCGCTTTGATTACGACCAATAATAATATGTCAATACGAATTCTGTTAAACATTAACTAATGCGTCTACAACCTAGTTTGTTACCATATATGGAATGTTACAGAAGTATCTGTCATTAGGGAGCGGCTAAGTATATTTACTTAATATAAAGCTGAAGTTGGTGGACGTATGTTTTCGATATTTGATAGCGTTTTAGGCAAAGCCTATATGGTGGCCGAGATAAGTAATAACTTGATAATAATCACATTGGACGAGACTGGTCTCAGACTCAAGTCCATGCTTGGTCATTAGTAGTCAGGTGGGGGTTAGGAATGAGATATGCAAAAATTGTTGAGCCAGGCCAATTAGAAGTACTTTTGGGCAGGTACTTCGGGAGACCCCTTTTGTCAAATTTCTGAGAAATTCACTACATTTTTTTCTCATTACTATTAGGCCTATCCATTGTTATGTAAAACCTGGCAGCATTTTTTATCTATGTTTTCTTGATTTAAATTTTTGGTTGAATCCCTGGAATCATTATAATAGAGATTAATCATTAATATATTTTGAATAACCTAGGTTTATTTCTAACTACAATTTCCTGTAATTTATAGATATTGCAAGATTAGGTTAAAATTATTTGAAAAATTGAAATAACTTTAGTTGTCAACAGCATGTTCTCATCGTTTTGATATGACTGCCACATGAAGGACGAGAGAGATCATTTTCCAGAAATTAAAACCACCCTTATTTATAAGAAGATGAGGTAAGAATAACCACAATAATCTATATATATATATATATGTGTCTCAAAACAGCAAAATGCTTAATGGGTAATGACACAAGTAGGCTATTTCTGGTAGGCTTAACTTTTCAACACATCTGTTCCCAAAGCATAATAAAACATGTGCATATAGAGCTTAATTACATCAAGATTTCAAAATTTCTTAAGACTAAGTTCATTTTTATTACTAAAAATTATATTTTCAAATAACCTTTTATAAGACTGAGTAAAAATATTGTTTTCTGTTGGTTGGTATAGCGCTCATTTTTTATATGGTGAGAAACAGGCAAGTTTGTTTCGGTAGAATCATACTCAAGCAATTAACTATGAACAAAAAAGCCATGATTTAACATTAGTAAAAAAGTAGCAACAATCATTTTGTGCAACCAATTAACCTGAATGTTGGAATAATCTTTGAATATGGCAGGATTAGTGAATTGGGTTCAGAAAAGCGTTCGAATAGCCAGAAATATTGTGTATTTGTCTAAATTAGTGGTTCTCAACCATTTTTCTTCCGTGGCTCATTTTTATTGCAAGAAAATTCTGTGGCACCTTCACTTTTTCATGCAAGGGGAAAACTACAAGATAAGCAAAAAACTGTGTCTGCAAAAATAGACACTTTCACTTTAATTATCAGAATGAAAATTACCCCTCAGCAACAAAAAACAGTATTATCGTTCATTGCCGCTACAATCAAAATTTAACAAAAGTGACAAAAATGAAACAGAATATTTCACAGCTCTAGCAATTATAGAGGGGGTTTGTGCCCACTTGAAAGTGTTGCTGTGGCCTAGCAGTGGTCTAAACATATTGTTTATATCAGGTGATTTGTTCAATCTCGAGAATGGAAAATCAAGGTCAACAACAAGAGGGAGCTAATGTTGTGAACATTCAAGGTGATTTTTATTTTATAGTTATTACTTATCGATAAGTATGTTGATAGGTATTTGTCTGTTTGTCTGTCTGTCTGTCTGTTAGATGTACGCGATATCTCTTGAAGGACGGGTTGAATCCGCAGTTTCGATCGATAAGTTTTCGGTTTCCGACCGATAATCTCGTTTCCATATTATCTGTTGTCTACAAATTTGAAAAAGAGGTACTGTGCAGGTTTGTCCAAAACGAATCAAATTCGAACATTTTTTAGCTGATTTTTGGATGATTCTAAATTAGTCTATTAACCGTCAACAAAGTGCATTGTTTTTGAGGGAAATCTTCAAACGAGTGTTTGCGCTTTGTCAAGTGTTGTAATGAGTGATGACGATGAAATAAAATTGGCATTTTGATTGTTTATCTTCTGCTCGAGTGTGCGCTGCATATTGTTGCGGCACTTTTGCATGGTTGTGTGGTTTTTCCCGCTTTATGGCAAATAATTTAAATAATTAATCCTCTTAAAGTATGGACTTTTTACTAGGATAATTCCTTGTTGTGCAAAATATCCAAATCTATGACCGATTGAAAATGATTTGTCAAATTAATTTAATTCTGTTCAACGAAAATCAGGGTTGCGTCGACTTACACAAAAATGAAAGCATTACCATCTAAAATATCACAGCAATTTAAGGACATAGAATGCCTGGTAAATAGACAGGTTGTATAAAACAGTTATCCTATTGTTTATTATTGTATGCTAATTCCTTCATACAATAAGATTAGCTTCTTTTGCTAGATTTTATTTTCGAATGGTTTCAGTATTTCATATCCGAAAATAATAATGTTGAATGTATTCGAAATAGTGAATTATTCGGTGCTCTCGAAGTATGCGAACCAAGATGGCGGACATCGGAACGTAACAGGTTGGGGTTAGGCGATAATTTTTTCCCAATTTTCCTTATTTTAGTCCTATTATCAGTTCGAAGACTAGTCAAGAGCCTCCCGTAGTATTAATACCTAAAATTATGGCTTAACCCTAACCTAGTACACATATTACATTCCGATGTCCGCCATCTTGGTTCGCATACTTCGGGAGCCCCAATTATTCGGTATTGGCCCTGACTGTGAAGAGCTTTGCAACTTGTGGATGATAATTATTAGGAATATTTAAATGAATGGCGCGAAGTCCGATTTAAATTTATTTAGTCCATTTTGTTCTGCTGGAACTTTTTTAAAAACAGTATAATACTTTTTTAAATGTCTGTTTCATTGAAAATTATAGTTTGAAATTTGAATCATAAATGTTACATATCGTTTTGAAATATGTTCCTGGGAGTAAATTTCATAATATATCAGGATATTTATAATTCAAACAAGAAATTTCAACGAAACAAAGATTGTAGTTTATTCTCCAGTGAATGACAATTAATTTGGACTTTTTCAGGCTCAAATGTTCATGAAGTTCATGGCGAAGTGTTTCAAGTCGATAACATTCAGCAAGCTCATGCAGAAGTAATTCATGCAGGCAATATTCAGCACTTCCATGCACATTATGACATTCATGGTATGTTTATTTTAATTCCTCAGGCAATTTGCTAACAACTAGTTCATTTTAGAAGCAATTTGGTTTGACTTTGTGACATGGCTGGAAAAACTACGTAAGTATTTGGTTAATTTTTAATTATTACTTATCGATCTTCAGATCGGTAAGTATGTTGATAGGTGTTTGTCTGTCTGTCTGTTTAAAGCACACGATATCTCACGAAGGTGTGGTTGAATCTGCTCCAAATTTTGCATGTGCATTCATCATATCTCGTATCAGAAACCTATTGATTTTGGATGAATTATGTCGTATAATTAGCGAGTTATAAATTAATTAGTGATGGGACACGCGGTGTCACTATGGAGTCATGAATCAAAACCGCAGTTTCGATCGATAAGTCTTCGGTCTCCGACCGATATTCTTGTTAGAAGTTTGATGCAGATTATTTTCAACTTTAATTTTCATGGATGCCTTTAAATCTTACCAATTAATTATTTTTAGCTGTGCCACCTCCAGGCGGACAACCACCTCAAGTACAAGCTGATGCAGGGTCTACTGGGAATAGCCAAGAGGAAATGCCATCGACATCGGGTGAGAAGGATGATATCAAGTATTTTCATATGAATAATTGATCGAATAGAAAATTATATTAACAAAAAAAAAACGGCTACTGAAACCGCAATGCTTGTCTTAAAGGTTCTTTTGTAAATTCTATCTTTTTATCCTTCTATCCTCCTATCCTTTTACACACACTATGACCTATTTCTATCCCGAATAGGCTATACATAACCCACCTCTTAATAAATAGGTTATGTTCTCCTGAAAGGGCTATATACCCATTATATAAGGTCAGTCCTTTCTGGATCTGACAATGTGTGGGGGAGATTACATATATCTTCTGCACTAGACAAACAATATGACATTACCCTTCTTATGGCCACCTCAAAATCTGTTTTTTGGGTACTCCCGAAGCATGTGAACCAAAATGGCGGACACTGGATCGTAGTATGTGTACTAGGTTAGGGTTAGGCCATAATTACAGGTGCAAATACTACGAGAGTCACTTGGCTAGTCTCCGAACACCATAAAGTAGTATGTTCACCAAGTTAGGGTTGGGCCATAATTACAGGTACAAATACTACGAGAGTCACTTGGCTAGTCTCCGAACATCGTAACGTAGTATGTTCACCATGTTAGGGTTAGGCCATAATTACAGGTACAAATACTACGGGAGTCACTTGGCTAGTCCTCGAACTCGTAATAGAACAAAAATAAGGTAAATTGGAATAAAATTATGGCCTAACCCTAACCTGGTACACATACTACGTTCCGAGCCCGTCATCTTGGTTCACTTACTTCGGAATACCGTTTTTTGTGCTTGACCTTGAGAACCTCAAACCCGTATAAAAATTTGAATTCTAATTCAATCATCCTCATTAAAATTTTCATATGAAAGACACTTCATTCTTACTGGTGGCGGTACTCTCTTTTTCTTGTGCTCTTGTAAAAGAGAATTGAAAAGAAACACTTTACCAAGCATTTGTCCTATATATAGACTAGAAGGTTTTGTACAATTTTATTCCCAACCCATCGATGGGGTTCAGGTTTCTGTGCAATATTTATTTGTTCTGCTTTTTATCACATTGACAATATACATGTTTACAAGTTCTTCTGGTAGGCCTACAGCAGTGATTTTCAACCTTTTTTGGTCCGCTGAAACTTCTTATATCACGATTTGTTAGCGGAACACGAAATGAAAGTTTTAGATTTTTTGGGTGAAATATTCAAATAATTAAGTCTATGAGTTTTGGCATAGTTAGGAAATAGCAAAAAGACCAATTGCTTGTCAACTTGAGTTGGAAAAAGGCCTAGCAAATGCTAATACAGGCCTACGAATAGCTACGAAATGCAAATAGTAGTCATATCCTATAATGTGAAATTCCCTTTGGAAGCTTACAATTTGCTGCATATTAAGAAAAGCCAGTATGTTCATATTTGTCTATTTCCGTTAACTCCTGGAGTCCTAGTATTCTGATGAATATCTTGGAAATAATTCAATGTTGCAGATTTGTGATGGTCAAATATATGTTGAACATTTTCCTCTAACCCATCCCATTATATGCAACAAAGTATTTTCTTTAAATTCAGGTTCTGCCTCTAGTTTACAAGGCACAGAACGACGCAACGTTGACTTAGGATACAGCAATCAAGATTTGCTTGTGGCCGGTGAGTGTATTCATACTCTGTCTAAGTATATATTCATTGATTTTCGTTTGTTTGAAGTCTCGAATATTTTACGACGTTTCCTCGTGTCTTTGGCTTCGAACATGGCCACTGTACAGGCGGCCACTGATATGTTATTTGGAAAGACTGGAAGCTTTCTGGTTTTGAATTTCCCGCCCAATTTATTGCACCCTGGGTGAGGCGAGGGCATGAGGCTTGCACCTGAAATGAATAATAATTATGATATGCAAACACAGTTAAGTTAATGCAACCAATTGCTACGTTTAATCGTGTGAAAGCAAATACTAAAATAAACTGTGTGGCGTCTCCTTATATTGAACCATGCCATGATTTTTACTTTACTACAACTTTCGATTGTAATGTTTGGTTTTGGTATAATCCTTCATTATTAAAATTTAGAATAGAAGGATTCGTGCTAGACTAGATATGGCCAGCTAGTGTATCTTTCAATATCAGCTCAACATCTTGACTTACTGTCAATAAATTGCAACTTATGTGTACATCTCTCTTATATCAAGGTTCTGCATCATTATTACAAACAGAGAAACCTATGAATGTAGAAATTAAAGAATCAAACATTAACATTATGGGAGGTAAAATCTTGGAATTTATGTCTGATTGTGTTAAATTGTGTTGTAACTAGGGCAGGAAATGGTTAACCCTTACGATATATTTTAACCCTCAACTGACACCTCAGGTGCAAATCATCTTTATTATGTACAATTTCTTCAAAAATGATTAAGTCATTGCAAATTTATCGCCTATGGCGTTTAATGAGAAGAATATCACTAACTGTATGGTTATGATTATGAAAATGTGACAATGATAAATTCAGAATCAGTTTTCGGTCAAAATATATTGTTTACAATTTGATTGCAAAATAGTATATTCAAGAGCACTCTTGCAGCAGAGCGATCACGAAACTATCCCGAATCGTAAATAATTTTAACAATGCCGGGATAAGATCACGAGAAATTGCTTTGTAACCATTGTGAAGTAACAAACTAAAATTATTACACCAAATGTCGCGCTGCAGTTAACCGGTTAATTTTACCCAGTTGACGGTTAAAGTATTTTCTCTGAAATTCCCAGCCCTAGTTGTAACCCAAGTTCAAGTTCATTAAGCAAGCATATGCATGAGCTCCACAAATACTAAGCTTTAATTCACTTAAACGTTAGCAGCACCTTAATTAAAGCAGTGTACAAATGATGTAGCACCAACAAAACATGACTCGGATAAAAGTATGCCATATATGACTCAGCAGGAAGTTACCGTTGCCTGTGAGCATGCACAGCAAAGTTTAAAATACAAAAATAAGAAATATTAATTACATAAAATATACAAAATAAATTACCACAAATGGTAGCTTTGTCATTTCAATTTCATTGAAACTTAGTTAATTATTTACCTTAGTCTTTTTACTTACTTGGCCCTCTAAAATCCGATGTATTGGGACACTCTTGTAAATTTTGTAGGTGAAGGAATGATAACTAAGGGAGAAGGAGCAACTACAATTATTCGTGACAGCGTTATTAACATCGGGGAAAGATCAAGTGATGGTACAAAAAAAATATATTTTATTTGATTTTGAACGAATTGAATGGCGGGAAAGATTTTGAGATATAATGTGATGCATTTAGAATCGTAATAAAATTGGTTTTGACTCCTGGTTGACAAATATGTCATCTCCGTATTAGTAAATTTTCACGCTTGCTCCAGTCATTGAGAAACTAAGCTCTGATGGAAAAAACTTTGACATTTGCAAGCTTTCTATTAGTGTCTTATAAAAATCCAAGCCAGTGGTTTTCGAGTTCAGAAATTATGACTTCAATTAGTTTAATTTGAGTAATGACAGGTTTGACTCGACTCTTGAGACTAATCCGTTGCCAAGTGCAAAAGGCGCTTTGAAACAAGTCTTAAAATCCTGTATTTAACCAAAATTATTATGCCCCTTTTAAACAAGCTGTATGCCTTAAAAATGGTTTTGTTCCTACTTTTCAAGCTATGCTCTATGAAAAAGGTTTGGCCATCCTAGGCAAGCTATGGTACATCCCAGACATGCTATGGTCATAAGCAGGGGCGGACACTTTCCATAATTTTGGGGGGGCGAACTTGGATCGCCTACCTAAAAACCCCGCGCCGTGTATCGTCACGTAACAATAACCTGTCGATGTCATTCTCTGAGTATTAGAATGTCATTTTGCTACTCATATATTGAGTACCTAGGACGCTTCGCTTAGACACGGACCTTGCGCGTCACAGCACCGATTTTCTTGAATTCTGCGAGAATTAGCCCACGGCTTCTGCTAACAAACAGAAAATAACAAATTTGAGGAGTCGTATTAGGTTATTGTTTCAATTCCTAGTTCTGCATAAAGCGCACTAACGCCGTTTCGTAAAATGAGAAATGCAAAACAAGGTAACAAGGCTATTGTGCGAATTTTTTTCCCAAGTTTTACCAAGGAATTATGATTTGACTAGTAAAATTGCCATTATTGCTGATTTATTAAATCATCATTTGAACTCGAAATAACATTCAGGATTCACGCAATGACTTTGCAGGGTTTTTATTTATAATTCAATACGAAAATAAACAGTCACAAGTTCAGGCACGCAGCCATGATGGGGGGGCAAAGTCGGAACTTCCCATTGCCGTCTGCAACAAGCACCGCGATTACGCGCTTGTTAGAAAAGCCGCCTATTTAAGCGTATAATGATTTTTCTGTCGCGTAAAATATTCAATCCATGACAACAACGTGATTCTAAAATGTCCTTATATATTAATTTAATTGTGTGCAACGTAACTCGCGGTTGCGACTTATTACGTCAAAATAAAAATATTACTAAACTAACGTACCACGGCGATATGTGGACATAAAAATATGAGATAAGCTGCCTGATGTATTTAATTTTGATACGTATTTTTGCAATCTTCCAAACTCGTTATCGCCGTTACAAAAATCTCGATGTCTGATATAAAATCCCATATAGTACAATTTTACTTCATACAGTGAAAATAATTATAAAGTATACTAGTAAATCAAAAATACAAATTCACCGCCATGAAATCCACGCGGAACAGTCGCCACGATTACGCCACTTGTTAAAAGAGCCGACTTTTTCAACGAAAAATTATTTTTCACTTGTGCAAACTGCAAAGTAATCAATCAAAGACCGATACGGGCATATTCAAAATGTCTTGATTTATTAATTTAATTGTCTTCAATTTAAACTGCGGTTGAGTCGACAAAACAAGAGCCACTCGAAAAGACCACAGCAATCCGCGGATATAAAAATATGTGGTAAACTGCCCGTTTATATATTGTTTTGATCTGTATTTTTGCTATTTTGCGAATTCCATAAATTTGAGATGTACTTGTAATACTGGCTCCGCTCAATCGCAATGTTGTCACTCCGATTATTTTTAAAGATAAAACCTTTCGAAAAATCCGTAAATTCTCTGTCAATTTTCACGTAGTAATAGTTATTTCAGTACAATAAAAATACATAAAAATATAAAAATTGATCGAATATACTTTATTTATCTTATATATAATCACAAACTGGGAAAAAGTCGCGTTCTAAGCTTTGTTTAATGTTAACACGAAAGTTTTCGACGTCAATTTAAAAGTAATGGATAAAAAGGTAAATCCCGTTTTGATTAGTGACGAAATGTTTTTTCAAGGTCAAGCAAACATAATTTGTGCCATAGGCACACAAAATTTTGCGATTTTTGATGCCTGGAAAAGCGTTTTTAGACTGTCGCGGGCCTCAACAAAACTTATATTGTTTACAGTTTTAATTTTAGTACTTTATATTGCGCTTTTCAACTTATGGATACTTATTAGAATTCTCGCCGGGTTCATCAAGTCCAAGTCCGTGCTTGTACGAATATAAAATGATTATCATAGTCATCGTGTCACAAATTTGTGGAAAATTTGTGATTCAGAGAGGATAAACTCCAACGTAAAAGCGTTTACGACCTAAATAATAGGTCACAATGATGAAAACAATCGGCGATTTTAGCAAAAGGCAATTGCACGCGTTATTGGTGACTTTTCCAGTTTTCAAAAAAATGGGTGGGGGGTATCTTTTTTAGATAGTTTTTGTGGTCTGAAAAGTCGAATAGGCGTTTCGACATAGTAAATGCTTTGATCTTTGCCCGCAAATTATGCTGGGCCTTGAACGAAATCCATAACGTGAAAAGATCAGTCCAGCGGTGAAAATTAGTTTATAACAACTTTAGATCTAGTTAATTTTTTAGCGATAATAATTAATTAATTGTTGTGATGAAATACAGTTTGCCTTTTTCACTTCTCTCGCAAGTGCCAACAATAACACTATTGAAAGATTTTGACAATGAGAAAACCATATTAAATTGTACAAAAATGAATTAGTTGTGCAAAACCGTGGCGCGTGATCGGTGGTGCGTTTGAAGACGGAGTTTTACCCGTGCGGGCGCGCATGTTCCACGAAAATGTGAGGTGCTCCGAAGGCGCTCTGGTCCACATTATTGTAAGAAAACAGTAATAAGCTCGGTTATTAACTATTAACCGTTTAATTGCGCTTGACTATCACACTTTTCGGAAATTATAATTTTGTAAGGCGGAAACAACATGTATAAATTTTTTTTTCAAAATTATTGGGAGGGCGACCCCCCCCTTTCTTAAGATATGGTCCTAAGGCCATCCTAAACTGATTATGCTCCTTCAAAAAAGTCATGCCCCCTCTAAACAAGTTGTATGCCATAAAGGTGTTGTTCTTACTATACCCCAAGGAAAAAGGTTTGGCACATCCCAGGCATGCTATGGTCATAAGGCCAATCCTAATCCGACTATGCCGAATTGATAAAGGTTATAACCCCTTCTAAAAAAGCTGTATGCCTTAGAAAAGGTTTTGTTCTTGCCAAACAAGATCTGTCCCAAGAAAAAAGGTCATGCCTATACCAGGCAAGCTATGGCTATAAGGCTAACCCATTGTAAATTGTCTATGCACCAAGAAAAAGCATTGCGTCCATCTCAGGCAAGCGATTGTCCTTCGAAAAAATTAGGGCTCTCCTTAAGCTGAGTATGCTACTTTCATATAGATTTATATCTATGACTTACTTCAGGTGCAGCACGAAAGAAAAATGAATTCACTGATGCCAGACTTGCTTCAAACGATATTCCTTGTCCAGTCTATGAGGTGGCGCCTCCTCCATTAGGTATGTATATATTGATATCGGATGCGTACTGAGCCTATGGGTCGCAACTGTTGTTGTCCGATATTGACAAAAATGGGAATTTTTAAATATGACATTCAACTTTTATGTTTCTTATATTCGAGCATTGCTTTTTTTTAGTGTTAATTAAGTCGGAATGAGCATAAACTAAAATTATAAATTGTTATTTGAATTGAATCCCATTTTTACATCTCACTCATAATGATTCAAAAGTCACTTTCAATACAAAATTGCTAAATGCAGTAAAGTGAAATGCTTCTGATATGTACCAAATGTAGTCAATATCATGATCAGGCATGCAGCCAGGATTTTTAAGGGGGGTTAAATATAAAAATTCCTATTTTCTTCTGAAACAGTTGCTGCGATTACGCACTCATTAAAATAACTAACTTTTTCAGTGTATAATGACTTTTCTGCCGTTAAAATATTCAACCTATATATATTCAACGTTCAATGAAGTATGAGAATCTAAAATCTCTTTCTATAATTATATATATTTAATTGCGTTCAACATAATTTTTGGTTCGTCTTCTTACAACAAAATAAAATTATTACTAGCTCAAGATACCACGGCAATCTGTGGGCATATACATCCTGAATATATTTAGATTTGATTTGATATTTTAGGTATTTTTGCAAACTTGCGAACTCGTTACTTGGTACAATAACAATTGAGGGAATATACTTTATATTAATATCCTTTACAAGGGGTGGCCAACCTGTTTTCGACCACAATCGACTGAAATCTTTAAAATAGCTCGTGATCGACTAATCGGTCACACACAAAAACGAATGAGTACTGAATATGCAGATAACTCCACATATACCGCAATTCCTTCGCTGCAAATAAGCTTACCTATGATCGCGATTGACGTGTTGGCCACCACTGTTATATACCATTTATACTTACAGAAGAGCTGTACAGATTTATTATAAAACATTTTGTCCTATTCTTTTTTCTAGGTTTCCTACAAACTGTGCAGCGAGCCATATTTGGAGGTAAACCATTTTTTGTGCTTGATAATAGGAGTGTTAATTTTTTTGTACAAAAAATACTGAAAAAGTTATCATTTTTGTTGTGGCACAAGGCAAACTTGAGTTGGGGGAAATTTGTGATTTTGGGAATAAACACTAACGTAAAGGTGCCTACAGCCTAAATTGGAGAGAGAGAGAGATTTATTATTTTGTCAACCAGAAAACACATAATATAAAATATAATAATAACAAAATAGGTGAAACAAAAGTTTTCAGTATGATATGACCATTTATGGTCATCTGAGTCAGTTACCACCCAATAAAATACATGAATAAAAAAATAAATTGACACAGGTTTTCATTGAACTCACAGTTTATAAAAAGCTATTTATATTATGTACAATATAACACATCGCGCTGACAAAAACGATCTGCGATTTTAATAAAATGCAATTGCACACGTTGTCGGCGACTTATTCAGTCTCCCAAAAATTTCGAAAGGGGTTTAATAATAATATATAAAACATGTTATTTTTATTCAAGCAATAATGTGTTCTAGCATCTGAGCGGAAGTTAAATATTACTTGTTGCTTAAAACCTAATGTGATGAATCCATCATTAATTTCAAGATTATAGTTCCATAGCAAAAAAAGTTGTTTTTGTCATAACAGATTTCTTCTGTGACTTGATTCCCCTTTATTCCTACAGCTGATTTATTAGACAACATTTTCCACTTTTTTTTTCTAGGTTTCCTACAAACTGTACAGCGAGCCATTTTTAAAGGTAAACCATTTTTTGTGCTTGATAATTTGCGTGTTTATTATTTTTTTGTCATGCTTAATATTTTGTTGCAACAGAAATCATCCATCCAAATATTATCAAGTAGCTGCCAATTTTACTCATAATATTCACGTTAAGATTTTTAAATCATTTCAAGTTATGGCTTTTAAATAACATTTTAATACAAACTCTGTTTCATACTCAACCTACTGAGTCTTTATAGTCCATATTTCTAGAATTTAAAATGTTCCCTAAAAATAACTTTTTGTTTTAACCTACACTTTCTATTTCACGACCGAGTTATCAAAATTCCAATAAGCGCTCTTGTGTGTTAAATTGTTTTCCACATAGGCCATTTGCAACCCAATGACCTTTCTATTCCTTGTTTTTCAATAATAAAGGATCCCAGATTGTGAAAAAATATTTAGAAAGATAAACATAATTCTCTCCTGAAAACATGAATTTCTGATAGGATTCACTCTGAAGAGTTTCCCCATTTTATGTGCATAAGACCAGGGGTGTCAAACTCATGGGTTTTCAAGGATGGCATTGCATTTTGGGACTTGTGCCAAGGGTCGCAAACAGTTTTTGATATATTTTGATAATGTATACCTAAAGCATATTTTTAGTTAGGTGTAGTTTGTGACATATATTGTGATGTAATTAAACAGCCGAATAAAGTTTTGTTATTTTCTTAAATTTCAAATGCCATTTACATATTAATTTCTTGCATTTAACTATTATTGCAATTTACTGTATTTATTACAAAAAATCATAAAATTTTATATACAACTATCCAAAATATTCTTAAACAAACTCTTGATAAGGAAAGCATAATACATACACTAAATCAATCCTAATATATAGATCTAAAATTTACAAAAATACAGATTTAACCCATCATCTCTTTCGGGCCACAAGCTTACTAATATCAGGCTGAAATGATTCCACAGTACCAACTATCAACTCTAGTTAACGAGGTCACATAATCATCAGTTAATTTTGATTATTTGGAAATGCAGAAATATTGCAACACCCATTTTTCTTTTCACCCATTTAATCAATGAAGTTTTTTTTTCAAGTATTCTTTTGCTAGCTTGAGTTGTATTTATAATTGGGTCAAAATGTGAACACTTTGAACTTCACTTTGGAAGGTTTGACAAATGTATTACATTTAGATAAAAAACCTTGCAAAATATTACAAAATTGTTAATCGTTCGAGGGCTGCATTGGAAGTTCTCCGCGGCCGCATGCGGCCCGGGGGCTGCAAGTTTGACACCCCTGCTTTAGACTATTACATCTTTATTTTACAATGACATGACAAGCTTGTCGAAGCTTTTGGTAATATATATGCAGTTCATGTATATCTGTTTTTTCACATCTAAAGGATTTTCACCATGCGTTGCACTGCAGCATTTGGTGCTCTACAACTAAAAAGTTTTTAACGCCCATAAAAACGGGCATGCACATTACATGTAATGCACTGATTTGCTGATTCTTGTCGCTACATTTTGGCTGCGAAACAGTAGGGCTGCGCGAAGCGGCCTGATAATTGGATATATTTTCCAAATCTTCTTTTAATATGCTTGGCCTAGTACATCAAATTTTACACTAGATTATCAATGTTTTTTCAGTAAGTATAATAAATTCAGTAGTCCGTTTTGGTGACACAGTGAAACAGAGTACAACACACAAAGACACATCACACCCTTCACAATAGTATCTGGTTTCTTTATGCTGTTTCTTTGCCACCATCAGGTGGAATAATGCCTGCTGAATTCTGTCTTAGCTGTTGGGCATGTCAGTTTGTTTCTGTTTCAATTTCTGCCAGCATTGTGTTCTTGATGAACAGTCTAAAATACTCCAGGGTGTCTCTTTGCCCGTCATGGTTACCTGCAGACCAGGTGATCCCGTAAGGCAGCTTAGACTGATTGACACAGATTTCAGATCAAACAAATTTAGTAATGTAACTCAGCCATATGCAAGCGACGTCATAGTTTACAGTCACGTCACTGCTATCACTTTCTACAGCTTCATCACAATCTGATTCTGATGTACTATCACTAGTTTCATACAATACAATAAACGATTTATTTCATCTCTTGTCAAACCACGCTTTCGACTCACCATTATCATTTGCCCGCCGTACGGCTCGAAAGCTCCATCCAACCTCGGGTCAGCTGTACCAACAGCCGAACACCAAAGGGCAACGACGTAATTATTGATTTGCCAGCCTACAACGAGTGTATGTGGGGGTAACGGTGCACCGGCGGCGTGTGATTGTGCATCGCGAGTGTGCTCTGCGTTTGATGTATGTATGACCCGTGCTGGACTTATATTTTCAGGGACAGCTGTAAAGTTATTAAACGATTCCAAATTTTATTTAGGAATGCGTGCAATAAAATTCATCAACTACTTCAACGAGAGGACCTGGGAGCAAACGAAAGTTAACATAACAGAAAATTACAAAAAAGCAAATCTGAACGAACCAGACTTCGAGGTGAATCCTCAAATAAAAAAAGTACAAGATTTTTACATTGGAGAAATGGCCCCCAAAGTTACAGAATATAAAATTGAGACAAAATTTACCGTTAAAGAAAGTCATATTGAAATTGGTGAACTTATTTCTCTGGGTGCACTTGTAGAACAATTGGGCAACAAAGAATACAGGTACATCTCCATTGTGGGACAGGCGGGCAGTGGAAAGACCACAATCACGAAACGTCTTGCTCGAAGCCTGGCTGTTGCCAACAAATTAGTTAAACAAGTTGGAATTAGGGAAAGATTATTTTCTTGGCTATATCAAAATATAGAATGTCGGTTCGAGTTTATTCATCACTTGAATATCAAAGATATCCCGTTTTTACAAGGAACTAAAGCAGAAGATGCCATCACTCCATGCGAATTACTTTTTGGAAAAATAGCTTCAGGACTTGCAACGCAAGATGTGGACGAAGGCTATGAATGGTTGCAAGAAAATCAATCAAAGTCCATTCTTTTCCTTGACGGCCTGGATCAAGCGACTTGGAGTCTGCTTAGAAAACACAACAAGATGAAATATACTGATAAATCGGGCACAGCAACGATAATGTACAATCTAATAACAGGTCATCTTTTTCCCGGCATGACTATCGTGATTTCTTCACGGGAACACAGAATAGCATCCCTTCCTTTAGAATTGAGGCCTCAATTTATAACTGCCCTCGCTGGTTTCACTCGAGACGACATCAAGAGGTTGTTTATTGCAGTTGTTGGGGACGATGGCGAAAGAGCTTGGGAAAAATTGACAAGGCAGTCACCCGCACTCATTCCATTATCATCTGTTCCACTTTTTCTAATATTCAATGCAATCGTTTGTAAGTTCAACCCTGAGAAATCACCCGATACTATGACAGAGGTAATGCTACGAATCCTTCACATCTTCATGCGGTCCGATCACACCCATGAAAGGGAACGGATTGAAGAAATACTACGAAAATTGATGGAAATGTCCTTCGAAGGCACAAAAGAAAAGCGAGTAATTTTCACTTATCATGATCTTGAAAAGTTTTCTCTTCAGTCTGATGAAGTTCGTGACATTATCATCAAGGTACCTGGAAAAATCATGTTTAACCAACATCTCATGGAAGGAGACCATATGATGTTCTTCAGCCATCAAGTCCTTCAAGAGGTTTTATCTGCTCTCTATATTTCAAACATGGATTTTGATTCATTTCGGAAATTCATTGAAACTAATATTCGAGATGATCACTGGACAGTCGTTCTACGGCTATTGAGTGGGATTATTTTGAATCCCGATATTGAAAGCAAACTCATAACAACCTTTTCATTTGGTAAGTCAGATGTATTTTGTACCATATTTAAATTTGGTTGACATCTAGACTTCCATGGTTTTAAAGAAGTCAACAAAAAAGATTTGTTATTATGTATCGAAATGTGACCTATATACTGGCGGAGAATCAGGCCTGTAGTTATGCTATTTGCCCTTGGACTACGGCTGTCCAAGCGAATGGAGTATTCGAAATCGAATCACAAATTATTCAAATCATTTTTGGACTATTGGGGATCGCTAAAATTAAATACATGAAGCGTAAAAAACCTCATGACATGTATTTTACTGGACAATTGGCGGCACTTCGTGCTTAGCCGACTCTCGGCACTCACTTTAATTTTGCATCAGAAAAGTGTAGAAATCTGTTAATGTCTGGTGGCATATTATCAGCCATTTCATGCATGATCATAACTGAAAAGTTATTACCAGGAGTAACATTTATAAAATGATGTTTTCGGTAAAGTGCAAGGTAAAAAAAACAATTTAGTAGCGATAGGAAATGCTAGTTTTATAAATAGAAACGATTCGAACCAGTTGAGTTAGTAATCACATAACTCAAAGCTGAAACAGGTATTGAGAGTCCATATGATGGCAATACCTTCTTTTAGTGGACTTTTTATTATCCATCTACTACCATAACCAATGATTGCACACTTGCATTTTGATGGATGTTGTACAGTAACAATACGGTCATCAAATAATGATGTCATCAAACTAGCTCCCAATTCGTGACGTCTCTAAATACAATTTTAAGTTACTTGGGCAACAGATTTACCTATATGAAAGGGTATTTATTATTTTGTTGAAAATGACACAAGCGAAACTTTAGACTAATAAAAATCAGATTGAAAAAGCACCTACAGAAAATTTTTTTTAAACTTTCCAGATGCCAGAAAAGATGAGAAGAGAAGATTACTTAAAGAATTTCTCTCATCCCGGCCAGTTAAAAAAATGAAATCTTATCAGAAGTTGGAGCTGTTTGGGATATTATATGAAGCTAATGACATAGATCTTATTCATTCCTGCGTCAAAAAGATTAATCTTGCAGGCGAATCTCTCACAACAGTAGGGATGCATGCAATATCATCAGTAATGCGACGCCGCAGCCAACTAGACTTGGTTCATCTTAAGAACTGTTGTCTCAGTGCTGAGCTGATTCATATCCTGAAGTCAAATCTGAAAGGTTCCAGTTTGAAGGTAAACATATAATTTCAAGCATATCATATACTAGATAGTAATTGAATTACTTTATTGGGTGCTCGCGAAGTATCTGTGCCAAGATGACGCACAACCTGAACGTTAGTATGTGCACTAGGTTAGGATTCAGGTTGTGCGCCATTTTGGTACACATACTTCCGGGGCGCCCTTTATTGTATACACTCGTTTTAATGTACATAGTTTTTTACAGGTTTGAGATGAGATAGATATTTGCATGTTATAGGGCAGTGGTTCCCAAAGCTAGGATGTCATGTTTGTGACGGACAGTGGTATAGGTAATTGGAAACGAAGCAATAACTTTCCTGCTGCTATTCACGACCACATATCTGTGCCAGCACGGATTTCCTGCACTGAGGGTTATTGAAACTATCGCAATCACCTCGGTTCTAGTGATGACTTGCGCATTGCTCTCATGAAGATATAATGAAAAGGGAATTTCAGTTTCACCAATCACACTGAATCAATGGACTAATGTTTCTAATGAGTCGTTGTCTGCATCTAGGTCAAATAGTACTGACAATAAAAACACATTTTGCGATGTTTAGGATTGTGCCGCAAGTATTCATAAAACTCAGATTAGGGTCACACTCAAAAACGTTTAAGAACCACTGTCTCAAGGTGTGAGCTCAGGTTTCAAATAGACTTTTTTCTCTATTTCCAATATTCTGGGGCAAATTTATTATTGAAAGTTAATAAACGTAATACTATTCAAGATTACTAAAAGTTCCAACTAGTATCAGAGCAATTGCCCAGATAAGGTGGTTCTATGGTCTTATCAGGTCAAAAAGCCTCACAATGACTTGATGGCATTTATCGATGTTAAATATTTACAGTTTACAGTGGCTATTTATTTCAGATAAATCAACTAGATGTCAGTCTGAACCCAAAGCTTGGACCTGATGGTTTTGGTCAAGTTGGACTAGTTGTTACACAATGTCGAGTGGAAGCATTTGATGCCCGGAGTTGTAATCTGACGGCAGAAGAAATGGAAGCATTCAAGGAAAACACTCTCAATGTAAAGGTAAGATAAGAACTTATTATTATTATCATTTATTATTGGATGGAAATAAATGAGTAAGTAATTGAAATCGAGTTGACTATGCAGGTTTATGCATGCTTAAAAAAATTTTGGGAGCTGACCAAGGGGTTCAGCCAACCACACGGTTACGGGGTCATAACCAAACAATTTTGATTTGAATTTTCTACCGTCTACAGAAATGCAGCAGCGTCGTTTTAGGGCCGGCACGTGGGTGCGGTGAGTCAGTGACATTATGTTGTTCGTTATCCCCGGAGCGCAGTTAACACTGCCAGACTTTTATTAGTTCTTACGATATGCAATCATTTTAGTTCACCGTGATAACTGAGATCAAAAGAAAAATCGTGTGACCTATCAAAGGAGAATTGCCAACTGTAGCAGCATCGAAATATGTCGAATATTTACAAATACAAATACATCACAAAAGGATATTCCTGATTTGATGTTTGAAAACCCCCAATAGCAATTGTCAAATCTGTGAAAAATAATTGTTGATTGCAATTCAGTCAGGCCAATTTTCTCTCTCTCTTTGAAACAGGCACAAGACGAATGGGCGCTTAAAAAGATAGAAGCGTTATATGCTTATTTAAAGATTTTCTTAAACTGCCGACTTGGTTGGGCGTAATGCTTTTTCAAGTACACTTTATATTTAAGAGCTAGAACTAAAATGAAAGCTGGGGCGCCTAGCATGTTAAAATCGGTTATGGCACATTTGTACTTTTTTTTAATTCGTGAGGCATCTTCATACTCAATTTCCTTATAGGGAACACTGGTTTCTATTTATTTCAGTTGGATAGACTAGATGTCAGTATGAACCCGAGCCTTGGAGCTGCTGGTTTAAAAAAAGTTGGATTGGTTGTTACACAATGTCAGGTAAAGGCACTCAAGATTGAGGAATGCAATCTGACAGCAGAAGGAATGGAAGCATTCATGGAAAACACTCGCAATACAAAGGTGAGGTGAAAGTGGACAACATAAATGTGTAAATATAAAATTTCAATTTTAATATAAAACTGCATAGCAACTAAATTTTGGGAGGATCTAGTATTAATTTGGCATCATTTATTGATAGCCTCATTGATGAGGCGTTGGGCATGGGATAGGTTAAGAAATGTTAGAATTACTCCAGATTAGAGGTAAAATCGGGCCTGAAAATTCCAGCCCGGTCCGACCGAGGCCCGTGGGTATTTACCCGACCCGAGCCCGACTAATTAACTGGATTTGCGGGCCCGAGCCCGAAATTTAATATTTTATTTAGTAATTCTTTGAATTGTCATTGCAAGTGTGTATATATAGTACAGCAGGGGTCGGCAACCTCTTGTCGCTCGTGGGCCTAAAATAAGGGTTGCAAGTCATTGGCGGGCCGCACATATTTTTAGAAAGTTGAAAACCGAACGGCTGATACTTTTTATAATAAAAATCAAGCAGTGACATTGCATCTCAAAAAATTCCATTTGAATATTTTCGGCACCATTGAACCCTTTGCACATAGCACCAACTTTTCTGTGTTTTGTTGCCATTTGTCTAATAATAATTAAATTATGGGCTAATTAAATAAGTATTTGTGAATTTTATTCTTGTTAGTTTGTAATATAATTTAGTCTACATGCGTCTCGCAATAAATTCTGTTACGTAAAGAATATATATAATCGTCAAAACTGTTTTGTTACTATAATTCAGTGAAGCGCCCGTCGTTCGGTGAAGCGTCGTCGATTTGTATCACTCCGTAGGTTTCCGACCCAAGTAGTACAGTATGTGTCATGTTGATGAGGCATCTTCTGTTTTTTTGCAGACCACGGTCTCTCATGGCCAAAACATGGCCGATTAACGCCCCATTTAAAAAAAAATGTCAGTGATAGAGCCGACCCGACCGTAATGGTTCAAATTTCAGGCCCGACCCGACCTGAATTTTGGGTCGGGCCCGGTCTTCAGATCTTAGCTCTACTCCAGCTATAGTTAAAATCGAATCCAAATCATTTATGCCCTAGGCTGTAGTCGTTCAAGCACAAAGCAGCGACGCTTGCCCGGTGAAACATGTGCAAAGGTGATCGTGGGGCTTTTTGTGCTCTATACTTTATTTCACCGATTTGCAAATTACCCCAAAAATGATTCGAATAATTTGTGATTTGATTTTGAATATTCAAATTGAATATTCTTCTTCTTTTAGCGTTTTGTTAAAGATTTTTATTTAATGATTAACCAGTTTCCTTTGTTTTTTATACCCACCATGCTGGATAGTTTACACTTTTTATTTATTTATTTCAGCTGAATGTACTAGATGTCAGTACCAACCGGAAGCTTGGAACTGATGGTTTTGGTAAAGTTGGCTCGGTTGTTACACAATGTCAGGTGGAGGAACTTGTAGCCCAAAACTGCAATCTGACAGCAGAAGAAATGAAAGCATTCAAGGAGAACACTCGCAATGCAAAGGTAAGATATAAAAAATGAACAGCATGAATATAAATTGAAAAAGCTGAGGATATTGAAGGAATGGGGGTAATAAAAACTTTCAAATCAAAATGTTTGCTTAGTTTAGAACAGGGTGGTCCAACCCAGGCCCGCAGGGTGGTCCAACCCAGGCCCGCGGGCCACATGTGGCCCGCCGCTTCATTATCTGTGGCCCGCGTCGCATTTGCGGGAGGGTAAACAAAAAAATCGCATTTGGTGTTGTTTCGTCGTAAAAATAACCAGAAAAATCTTTTAACATATTGTTACATAACTAATGTCACTGAAATGACTAGTGGTATGGCTGGCTGAGGCAACTAGCGAAGTTGAATAAAGTGCTTGGCAGTCTAAATTGTTAACTGCTGGCTTTCTATCTTTTTTGTCGGAAAAATATGCTAACAAAATAGGCTTCATAGGAAACTAAAAATCTAATGAGGAATTTATTAGCTCAGGTTGACTATGCCTGATAACTAAATATTATTTTTCGCCTGTATCGCAAATTTACTGAAATTCGGTAATCAATCAATGAGCAGTTATTTGTTAGTTATTTTGTAAACATGAGTTTGATGAAAACTGACCAATTCAAACATATTTTTGACTGGGTATGGGAGGCAAAATATCACAGTGCTTGCTTGATATGTCTGCAAGTTGTGTCGGTGACAGTCTAAAACGGCATTTTCTCCTCACAAGTTCGAAATCTTAAACTAAATGAAGATATAGTACGATTTGTGCAGGTATTAGTGAGTTTTTAGTGGTTATGCGTGTTTTAGCTTGATAAATAACAAATAATGATCAATGTGTCTGGACAGTAAAAGAGTTTGTTTTGTATTTCACTGTTTTTAAGTATTCTTGGCACTATTGTGGCCTGCGAACAATTCAAAAATAATAGTGTGGCCCACGAGGCCGACAACCTTGGACCACCCTGGCTTAGAACAAAGTTTGAAGAAGTCGGGGAAAGGCTGAAATCCTAAAAATGACTACCTTGTGGGGCAGCTTTTAATAGTATTGTGGAGTGTACTATTGTTGGAGAATATCTGTGGGACAACCCTCTTGGCAAGTCTTCCATTTTCCAAGTTCTTACTTATCGATCTTAAGATCGGTAAGTATGTTGATAGGTATTTGTTTGTTTGTCTGTTAGATACACGCGATATCTCACGAAAGCGAGGTTGAATCTGCTCCAAATTTTGCATGTGCATTCATAATAGTTCGGAACATAAGCCTATTGATTTTCGATGAATTATGTCGTATAATTAGCGAGTTATCAATTAATTAGTGATGGGACACACGGTGTCACTATAGAGTAAGAGCGCTGTTTTGGGGGATCCCCTAACCTCCGATCGATAAGTCTTCGGTCTCCGACCGATATTCTCGTTTTACCTTCATGCTTTTAGTGTCAGTGGATATCCATTTAAGACACTTCAAAACCTATGGTAATAATTTTTAAGCAATTGTTTGTTCAGGTTCACAACTTGTTAAATGATCTTACTTGTTCCTATTTGTTCCAGTTTAAAAAACTACTTATCGATGACAATAAGAACCTTGGACCTGATGGTTTTGGTCAAGTTGGATTAGTTGTTACACAATGTGATGTGAAGGTATTTGATGTCCGGAATTGCAATCTGACGGCAGAAGAAATGGAAGCATTTAAGGAAAACACTCGCAATGCAAGGGTAAGCTGAAATCATTGAGCATAAAAAGTGAGCAGCAAATATATAAATGGAAAAAGCTCACGAGGGGGTTGGTAATATTACCGGTAATTGGAATATCATATCGTATTTTTCTGTATTTCTTATGTTTGTCGTAACAAGGCTCTACACATCCAGAGATTGTAGTATATACATGTTCATGTGTTTAATCATTACTTACTGGGGCCTCCAATGTACTTAACACGAGTCAATGAAAGACTCTTGTGTAAGGAAATTTGTGTATTGATACCTATGCAGCCCATTACAATAAATAAAGCCATATGGATATCATTTGGGGAAAATTTGAAAACTAAAAGTGCACCTTGATTGATAATGATAATAACATTACTGTTATGGCCAGTTTATTCATAACCAAAATAATAATTTAATATTCATGGCAACAATATTTTGAATCGGATTATTTTTGATTCAGCATTTCTATATAATCTATAGCAGGAGCGGGCACAGTTTTTAAACCAGGGGCCATAAATTTTGCCCACTTATACTGGCGGGCCATGAAAGTGAGACCTAAAAAGTTACATTTTATGAACAATATTTACACTATTACTAATCAAGGTGGAAAACAATACGCCTGGTGCCCAAACTAAATTTAACAGCAATCTCAACAAATTCCTTTTGCTATTTTTAGCTAAAACGTCAAATTTGATTTCAGTTTGATTGTGTCAGTATCAGTCTGGCCAGATTGGATTACCCAACGGGCGGGATTTGGCTTGCTGGCCGTACTTTGCCCATGTCTGGTATATAGAATAATGGGTAGAATAGTGTGCATGAGATTTGAAACTAAGTTCTCTAACCCGGGTTAGGAGGCATGTTTAGGAAATGAAATCAGACTATTCCATTATTTGCATGTCATACCATTCCATCTCATGGAATAAAGGAGCACTGAACGTTCAATTAAAGAACCAGATAAAAAGGTTAAAAAATATGGATGAACTCATTGATAGTCTTTTATCACAGTGTTCCCAAAGATATAAATTTTTAACTGTACTAACAACCATGTGAATGTTTCAGTCCGATTACTTTTGTTATCACTCTGCCATTACGTGTTTTTAGTAATTTTCAGTTGTTAACAGGTTTGTGTGAGGTTGCTGCTTTGGTCAGGGTAAAAACTTTTCATATCTCATAGCGAGGGGGAGATTTTCCTGTAATAATAGTCTTTTGTGCTTTACAGGTTGTGTTGGGAGTAATTTGAAATTTTTATTCCAAGTTTTTATTTTATTTTCCCCCGTTTTCAATGTGTATATTGCAGTTTTTTTTATTTCAGCCACTTCATTCGTTTTCTCTCGGTGCCTTAGCTTTGTGTTAATGATTAATCAACTGTTTCGGTCACATTCGCATAATGTTAAAAATCTGACTTTTTTTTATTTCAGTTGAATAAACTAAATATCAGTAAGAACTCAAACCTTGGAGCAAATACTCTTGGTGAAATAGGATTGGTTGTTTCACAATGTCAAGTGAATGCATTTGAGGCTCAGAGATGCAATTTGACCACAGAAGAAATAAAAGCATTTAAGGAAAACACTCGCAATGCAAGGGTAAGCTGAAGTCTTTTATCATAAAAAGTAAACAGCGCAAATGCGTCATTATGAATGGAAAAAGCTCGTGAGTAAATTGGAGGTGTAGAGAAATATATACTTTCAAAATCTTGCACATTCAGTAATTGTAATATGTAAGTCCATGAATAGAATAAGAACTCAAAGTTAGTACCCAGGGTCATTTGGCTCAATTACATTTGAGACCTGAAGATTGGTAACGTGGTCCCAAAAGGTCACGATGTTTTATGGCATGAATGCAGGGAAATGAAAATAAAAAGAAATTAACCTTGAAAGACATGAAAACATTTTCAAACATTTTCCGTGGGATGAAATGTTATCATTCAGGGCTGTACGATTATTCAAAGCATGCAAAAGACCTCAAAATTTCAATTTCATTCATTTTTCATTCATTTTTGATTTTGAAGGTTTTTTCAAGTTTCAACCAACTTAAAAATTTCTCAAAGTGATATTTGTTTAATTTTCGATCAAGTTCATTAATCTTTTTCCAAATGTCCTGTTTAAAAGGTTAATAACTTAAATACCATAGAAAAATGAATTTGTCTAAGTTTGAGAACCTACTATTCCTACCTTAAAAATATTCGAATGAATTGAACAATTTCCAACCTAATACCGCTTTTTTGAAAAAGTCACTTAGATAACAATTTATCATAGACCTGTTTATTTTGAGGAATATTATATAATTTTGATATTTTTTATTGTTACTTATCTCCAGTCATGACAAAAAACGTGTTTCATGACTTCACATTTGTGGTGTCAAGATATTTTATGACAGTCTTTCTTAGGTTGATTTTAAATTCAATTCACCTAATATACTTGTAATTTTAAAAATTCATTTATGGCATCATACCAAGTTTACGACACCTTGTATGATATCACCGAGAGATGGGCCTTGCAAATGGAATAGTCTGGATAAGCAGTTCTTAACCTGGGGTAAATTTCGCAACTCGCAGGGTGATTTTCGTTATTGTGAAAAAAGATTTGGAATAAGCAAAAACCGCATCTATTCGCTTGTTTTGTTTCGATAAACATTGTGTTATTGGTAGGAAACTTGCGAGAAATATGTATTAACCTTTTATTGGGTGGGCTGATGTGTGTCACTTTCACCTTCCACCATGTTTACTTTCACGCTTAGTTAGGCTAACAGGAAAACAAGTTTAAACAAAGACTATTGGATTTAAACGAACTGCTTACAAATTCTATTCAATTATTGATGCGAAAACCATCAAAATAATCCAGCTATTTGCATCTTCATAGCTCAGTGAACATGGATTTTCTGCTATGACTGAAATTAAAAGCAAAATGGGGATTGATGATGTAATACGGGTGTGCTTGACTACGAGTTCCATGTGTCTCTATGTTTTATATTCTGATAGTGCAGTCTGGTATTTTTCAACTTTTCGGATTTCTCAGTTCACAACCTAGAATGATGTTTTACCTGTTATTTATATATTCTTCAGTTTTTACGAATTGGATTGTATTTTTATCCGATACTAATCTTTCCCTCCACTTTTTCAGTCTTGGAAACCATGGCACAGTGCCAATATTGTCTCGAACATGCTCCCATATTAACAAAATTGTATCCACCAGGAGTGCTTATATTTTCCAAATATATTTTTTAATAACTGCCTTATGACGTATGCCCTCGTACCTGGCTACTACCAGACCGCGAACTTATTATAGGGAACCAATCTCATTTGTTCCTCAAAATAGGAACACACATCGCGTTAACATTTCAGAATCAATTTGTTTAGAGCTTTGTTTACACTTATTTTTGTGTATCAAGTGTGTCGCAAAAATTTTTAATTTTGCTTAGCAAAAAATAAGTTTGAGAACCATTAGCCTGTACAGAGCCCTGCTTTTACTGATACAGTGTTACTCATAGAAACTTAATATTTTCAGATGTCGTTCCTGAATCTGAGTTTTAACCCAGTCAGCAAATTTGGGGATGAAGGATTATCTACAATCAGTGAAATTGTTCGTCAATGTCAGATTCTAACATTGAGGATGCAACATTGTGGCTTCAACAAGGATCAGTTGAAAAGATTCAAAGCATTGTTAACCGGGGTTAATTTCAGGGGCGACTAGAGAATTCACAAACAGTGAATCGAATAAACCTTGAAGCCGGGAATAAGTCATTCAAGCATTAATTTAATGAACTTCAACCTGTTCTTTTTTATCAGCGAAGATAGGTTCATAGTATAAGTTGTCTGTTTCTTCTACAAACAAGGCTCAAGCAAGCATTCATTTATACATATGTATCTTCCGCAATGCTCAAAGATCAGATGCCATTAACATACCGTATTTGCTCGTTTTGTAGCCCGGGCCCATATTTTTTTCAACCAACTCACTAACCGGGCCCTTATTCAAACCGGCCCTTATTCAAGCACAGGCGCTTGTTATTTTCGATCGTTACAATAATTAATATATTGATATTTCCAGTTCTCAAGTATGATTTAAACGAGAATAACGAAAATTTTGACTTTTCCTACGCACCGCAGGTACAAATCCGCAAAAGGAGAAAAGTTTTGCGACGCCCTATCAATATTGAAACGACACACTTGGATGTAGCGACGCCCAGTTTGAGAACCATGCTGTTACGTAATCAATGCTATCTGTTATGTACTTGGACGCCTAAGGCGTGAGTGTTATCTACCGGCGCTTAAAATTCAACAGCGTTGTGACAAAAGCGCTTCTTATTTCCTATTGTTCTCTACCACTGGAAAATCAGCTTTTACATTGGGCAGGTATTCAAGCACCGGCCCTTATTTATTTTTATGTTTTTTTCACATGGGCGGCCATTCAAACAGGCCCCTAATCAAGATCGGGCGGTAAAACGAGCATTTACGGTATCATGACTCTGTGTGGGATTTATACAATGTTTCCAACTAAATGTCTTTGTTCTGGTTTCTATGATATTGGTCCAGTTGATTCGTGATCCTGGTCTCTGAATTAACTCGAATCTTCAGTTACATATATTAAATGTTATTTGGTTCAATTCTATCATATGTCTGAAATCCTCCCTTTTTTTGATACTAGTGTTTCTATGTTTTATATTCTGATTGTGTAGTCTGGTATTTTCAACTTTTCGGATTTCTCAGTTCACAACCTAGAATGATCTTTTACTTGTTATTAAAGATCAGTAAGTATGTAAATAGGTATTTGTCTGTTAGATGTACGCGATATCGCACGAAGGCGAGGTTGAATCTGCTCCAAATTTTGCATGTGCATTCTTCATATCTAGGACCAGAAGCCTATTTGGATGAATTATGTCGTATAATTAGCGAGTTATTAATTAATTAGTGATGGGACACACGGTGTCGCTGTGGAGTAAGAGCGGATGAATCTAAACCACAGTTTCTGTTTTGGGGGATCCCCTAACTTTCGTTCGATAAGTCTTCGGTCTCTGACCGATATTCTCGTTTATATATTCTTCAGTTTTCACGAATCTGATTGTATTTTTATCCGATACAAATCTTTCTCTCCAATTTTTCAGTCCTAGAAACCATGGCACAGTGCCAATATTCTCTTGAACATGCTCCCGTATTAACAAACTGGAATCCACCAGGAGTGCTTATATTTTCCAAATATATTTCTTAATAATTGCCTTATGACGTATGCCCGCGTACCTGGCTACTACCAGACCTCGCACCCTCAAAAGCAATCTAAGCAATGTTATTATGACTCTCCTACGCTGACTTTATATGGTTACCTCGCCGGTGCCTGGAGCCCCTTTTTTTGTTACGGTTTTTGTTTTCTGGACATTTATTTTTTAATTACGTTAGGAGATGCTAGAGGCCGCTGTTCCTAAGTGGAAAAAGTCCTGTAGTGTCACGTACAATGTGCACATATCGCCATGAATGTACAGTGTTACGTTGAGTGGCACATAAAGGGGTCACTGCACCAGAAAATATTGAAGGCTCCGGCTGTGCCAGCGCGACAATTTACAACAAAATGAAATGTTTATGCTTGGTGGATTTGCCGCCCCGTGCGTAGAGTCCCCAAATATTTTAATACATATTTTATATCCAGTGAGTTGTGTGTAACTTTCGTGCATTTCTGTTCAAAGCCCATAAATCAACTGATTGGACAAGAATACAAAACATGTAGCTGGCAATGTAAAAATATATTGCATCTAACAACATGCAAAATTTCTGGAATTGTACTGTTACAGTCACTTAGTCCATATCGAATAAACACACGTTAAAAAATTGAAACGATGTCTTACACGCTGAGAAGAAGTGAAGTTGCCTACCCTATTATTTTGTTTAATGAAACTCGCAACAAATAAAAATTGTATCTATTTTAAACATCGTAAATCGCAAGTTTATATGAATTTACGGGGGAAACCCGGTTAAACGGCTTAATCATATGGCGAACCACACCCTCTCGTCCGGTTACCAGTTCGGGTATGAGATTAGTTGGCCAATTATTTGTTTTCGGAAGCATGTACTTGATGGTGGAGGAAGCCGTAACCGACCAGCGTTTACGTGAACCAACCTACGGCGGCGAGGAGTCCAGCAATTCTCTCGCTCATGATCATCCCCGCACGGAATTCGAATCCACGAAGGGTAATCAGAGATGCGGTGGCGAGCGTATTTCTAACGCTTAGCACGATGCGCCACATCGTAACGGGACGGGGTTTTCTACAAAAAGATCCCAAAAAACTCTCGGTTGCCGTCAATAACAATACTGTACATACTGAAGTTAATTTATCACCCTTTTGTACATTGTAGATTTCAAATTTACCTTGTTAAAATTACACGCGGATCCGCATACGAATTTATTCTCTGATTATGGGAAAATATAAGGCAATCATTGCAATGCATATCCAATGAATTTTCTCTTCCACCACTGAAACATCATTTATTAATCCTGTTTTATCCAGACAGGATAGCTATTGGTTGAGTATACGTGGGTCAACTGTATTGCGGTAAGAAATGAACACCAAATTTATTTACACCTGCTCGCACATAAAAATAGATTACTATGAAACATTTCGCTCCGTTCTATAAATGAGGCTCATTTGGGTGTGCGGAGAACTCGTAAACGACGCGAGCGAAAAAATCCACAATTATGAAACCTTTTTTGTCTCATCTAGCGAAGAGACCAGAAACAACTCAGATAATTCGAATTGTAAAAAAATGCTTGAATTCACAAGGCTTGGGTCAGGGGCGGATTATGCCTCTTTGGGGCCCTAAGCGCTGAAGACTTCGGTGCCCCCTTTGTGTATAATTTAATTATAAATACATTAAAAACCACATGAGTTTATTATCCATTAAAAATAATCACAACCAACAGTAATGAAACAACTTTTACGAACATTTTTAGGTTTTTTAAGTGTTATATATTGTCGATAGACTTTGATTAGAAACCCAGCTTAAAAGACTACCATTCTTTGTAATTTTATCAAAGTTTTTTTTTCAAAATTTAATATTCGCACTTTTGTTTCGACACCCTCGATGGTTTAGATATTTCCTTATTTTAAATTTCTCTGTCAAATCTTTTTCAATGTATTTAGTATACCAGGCTTCCTGTCTTGTGATTTTCCGAAAAGTTGAATTAGTTTAAATTAAAAAAGTTAAACTAATTAAATTAGGCCTATTCAGTATGTTCCCCAGCCTTTCATTATAGGGGGGTGTTTCGAAATTTAGGGGGTGGTAAATAATTTCGTATTAGCGATAAAACTATTTGTATCGTTTAAAAATTGGTATGTATTTAAGAAACGATATACCTGGGTGTTCCCCCAAGTTGATTGACCGCGAGCCAGAATACACAGCAGAATGAAATTAGAGGGCCAGAAAAGGGAGCGACAAGAAGTGCGCGAATACACGGCTGGGGTTCAGGGCGTGCTGAAGCGCCCTGAGAAAATTTTGAGAAATAGGCTCTAAGCTTGATTTTAGATACATCTAGCATCGCAGTTTGTATGTAATAAAAATAATATTTATAATAGTTAGCTGATAGAATTCCCGAAAAATAAATAACAAGCACGGCTTTCAACAAGTAATTTGCGACTGATAGTCACTAATGAAGTTACTTGCTCATCTGGCATTGTATGAATGGCTACTTAAGGTTTGTTTTGTTACACAAAAAACATCCCAATGTGTATATAAAATAAAACGAAATGCCATAATTTAGTTTAGTTCGAAACGTGGCTGCAATTCATTACATTGTATTCAAATTACGTATTCAAGTGATTGTCTGTCAGTCTCCACCAAAGGTTTATAATTGTGTCGTTAGAAAGACTGATGCTAGAAAATTAACTTTTATATCAGGAGAAATGACTTCCAAAACTTGCAGCATATATTCGCGCAAAAATTCCCCCTCAACAAACGGGAGATTCTTTTTAGCAATGTTGCGGGCTACACTATAACTGACCAATAACGTAGATCCACTTTCATTTCACATTTTTTTAAACATGTTTGTTTGACTTTTGTATGAATTAAGCAATGAATTAAATTTTAAAATACGCGCTTCAACTGATCATAATGGCGCATAATGTTGTATTCCTTCAGAACTGAAATATTTTGTTGGCAATCAAGACAATCGCTGAAGTTTGATTCTTTTTAATAAAGAAATAAAAACGCTGCCATTCATATAAAACACGTCTGTTTTCAGTGCCTAGTTTTCATTTTGTGACATATTCAAGCCTTTCTAATATACGGCTGATATCCAAAATACTGCGGTGTGTAATGGTAAACCTAATACGGATACATAAGATTCCGGTATAATTTAATTGTTACGAAATAAACGCGCTTAAACTGTGATAATGATGTAACGATAGACGGTATCCACCGGTATTTGAAATTTCAGGGGGGGTGTTCACCCCCTATAAGGGGGGGGGGGGGGACACTGGGTCTATTGTGTCTTGGCAATAAAAAGTAAACACTCTCACATTTCACTAACTCAAACTTCAACATTTATTTATACATGTTCTGAGACAACTGTGAAAAAATGTCAAAGCAAAATTTGAACTATTTATCTCATTTTAAATTGAACTCATTTTGAGACTGTTTTCAATATATTTTACCGAGAAATCGAATAATAAAAATGTTATAAATTTATTATCACAAGTGAAGAGCGTATGGCGTATAGAAATTTAAAAGTCAGATATTTCAGAATTCCTGTGTGTAATCTGCGATACGGACACAGTCAAATCTGACACTTTAAAGCCTCTCGACCAATGCCGAACACCGGTAGTTATCTAGTTCTAGCCTACAGTAAAGGAAGAAAGTTTGGTACTCCCGAAGCATGTGACCCAAGATGGCTGACACCGGAATGTAGTATGTGTACCAAGTTAGAGTTAGGCAATAATTTCAGGTACAAATACTAAGGGAGTCACTTGGCTATTTGCCGAATTCGTAATAGAACTAAAATAAGGAAAATTGGAATAAAATTATGGCCTAACCCGGTAGGCTACATATACTACGTCCCGGTGTTCGACATCTTGGTTCACATACTTCGGGATTGAGGGGTGCGCAACCTGCGACCCACGGCCAAATGCGGCCCACGAGTAAAAATTGTGCGGTCCACGGATTGCTAAGATTATTATGCTAAATTGAACTATTAGTTGAGTTTACTCAAAATTTTTCTACTTTTCCTTGCATCTGTGTCAATGTCAATTTCTTCTGTGTATGATACAAGGATAATATCGCCAAAATAAAAAAAAATAGAACTATGTGAATTTGTTGATATTTTTGTTGCAGCGAAATAATGCCATTGATCAAAGCTGGCAACGATAACTCTTGAATTAATTTAAAAAAAACTTGAAGGTAAATTCATCTGGGCTGATAGCGTAGATTCAACTGAAGATAACACGGATTGGAGTGAAGAACAACCAGATAATTCGAGAGGTGCGGAAGATTGTGTATACTTTTGGCCTGTGGATAAATGGAAGTTTAACGATGTTTCGTGCAATAGAGACATGAAATATATACGCGAGGCACGTGCTCAAGAAGAATTAATTTTATTGTCATTCTCATCCCGTGATTGATTACACACAACTGGGAATAAAAACGGAACGATCACCCCCCTTCCTCAAAAAACATATCATAATTTTAAATAAATTTTGTGCAAAGTGCCCTAGACCAGTGGTTCCCAAACTTTTTGTACCATCGCATTACTAATACTAGTTCTTTGCTTGTTCTCTGTAATGTCCATTTTTGCAAATTATTGTTCGCAAGATGAAAAAATAAACGTCCAGACACATTTCTCACTCAGACAGATTTTCCGGCGTAGTTATATTACCTCATTTTTGCGTTTTTGAATTATATTCGTTAATTTTTAGTTGTTTTTCGGAAATTTAAATATAAGTCAATGATCACAATGATCTTCCTAGGAGTTTTAGTTAAATTAGTGTAGAAACAGCTGTGGTAGATTAGGCTAAAATTCTTTACCGGTCGTTTTGGAAAACAGATTGTTGAATGGTATGAATTAGAATAATGGTTTAAAACAAATACCCCATTTTACAGGCCACAACTCGCGAAACCGCTCTTAAAATGGGCATCGAAAATTTTAAAATAGTAGTGTATAGGAAGAATTTTCCGGGGTCAAAGGTCGGGGAAAGCTCCATTCAGTGAAGCGTTCTGGCCAGATTATTTTACTCAGGCCGTATTTTGCCGACCACTTGGATACGCAATCATTTCGCGTGTGATAATCGCCCACGTAATTCAAACCTACGAAAGCACGCAGAATACAGAAATCAAGTGCAAGATGCGCCGAACAAAAATAGGTTTCTCGAATCGCCCCCTATCGCCCCCTTCGACTTTTTTCCCCTCTCTGTATCGTCTTCGCCCACCGGGGGGTGATATCGCCCACTTTGGGAATCACTGCCCTAGAGCCTAGACTACTAAAACTAGCGGGCACATTTATTTTAAACAAAATTTCAAGTGTCAAAGAAGTTTTTATGCAAAGTTTTAGGAAGTCGAGGTTACTGTTTGTTCTGATTCACCCTGTACCACAAACATTATTGTGGTGAACTGTATCTGCTTTTGGTATTAATTCTGAAACTGTTGACAAGTTCAGCTATTTGATTACGCTTTATCTCCGTGGGTTTCAAACTTTTTAATAACCGCGCCCCATTTTTAGAATTTGTCAAGTCTCTTGCCCGCCTCAAAAATAGCTAGCTAACAATAAGCTACAAATATCTTATAGTAAGGCGAAAGTATGTTTTATTCACAAAACACGGTAATGGTACGTAAATAAACAAAGTAAATGTCCAAAATAAGGCAGGCAAGATCAAATCTAGAAAATATTTAAAATTTTATTAGCTTCACGCCTCCTCAAAAAGTTGTCTACGCGCCACTTGTCGGCCGCGCCGATAAACTAAGATACAAAAAGCTATATTGCTGTTAGGAATAAAATGTTAATATTATTTGTAACGCCATATGATGAAGCCGTCTTATCCTTTCCCCTGGTAAATTTGGAAATCCTATCCTAATATAAGACATTACTCCTAACATTGAAAAAACATATTTGCACAATTTTAAGCTGTTTTAAACAATATCGTGCATATATTTGTCCTTTCTTTTTTCTCTAAAAATACATTTTTTAAATGGCGAAAATAATAAGTATAGAACACTCTCACACTTATGGCATATTACATACACGATTATTACAAACCTATTTTCCGTGATGTTTTTAGAAAATAATTTATGCTTGTCGCTCTCGTTTGCAAATGGACGTTGCGGACGTTTCGAACCAGACGTTGGAGGTACGTTTATTGACGAGGCTTGATTATGAAGTGTCGAGACATTATTACAGTATTACTGGGGTTAACTCATATATATATATATTATGGCCGTGGAAAGTGAAAAATGTTGAAAACTAAGGAATGAGGTCATTTATTTGCTGTTGAATCTTTCAAGTTCGCCTATATTTTCGTTATTTGTAATAACGTAATACTTGAACAAAATAATATTAATATATATAATGAAATACTCCACTTTCATTAGCGAAATAAATATTCAATCACGACTGCCTGCGTCTATCGCATCGCGCACTGTGGGTAAATGTATATGCGCACTCGGGCATGCGTGGTGCGGAACGTTTGTAAGCCGATGACATAATTACAGCTACTTCTTAGCCAGATGCGCAGTAAACCAATACCCTATATATACATTGAAAGAATATAAGGTACTAATACCTGTGCGGGCAGTCTACTCTCTACCCTGGTGCTGTCTGAGTGAGTGTATATAATCGGATGTATGCGCCTAATTAAAAATGAATAGAAATAAGTGATATCCATTAGAGATGCAAAATTCAACGGTAGACCTCACGCTATGCGTCACGCTTATGGTTCCATGCTATGGTGGGGTAGACCTCACGCTAAAACAAAGCTTTAATTGGAATCTCATTCACTGATCCCATTTTTCGCAAATATAATATTGAAGTTCTGAGCATGGAGCGTCATTTAACTTCCAATTTTGGTTAAAATTGAACTCTCCACAATCTTCGCCCCTTCCGTAGTTGTCCGGTTGTTTAGCATTCCAATCGGTATTCTCTCTTGTTGAAATAATGTCATCAGCCCAAACAAATTTTCCTTCTTGTTTAATGTCATCCAGACCAACCCAAGTAGGCATATCTTTTCCTCCTGACTTTACAATTTTGAGTATTTCGCTGAAAAATATGAATATTCAAATTATTTAACCAAACAAATAAAACCCTTTTAATTGAAGTAATCTTTTTGGCATCATTTTTTCAAAAATCATCAATCAGAAATGTTATGAAATGTTCAAATTTTGCAAAATATCTGTTAGATGCACGCGATATCTCACGAAAACGAGATTGAATCTGTTCCAGATTTTGCATGTGCATTCATCATATTTCGGACCAAAAGCCTATTGAGTTTGGGCGAATTATGTTGAATAATTAGCGAGTTATTAATTAATTAGTGATAGGACATAAGGTGTCACTATGGAGTGAGAGCGCTGTTTTGGGGATCCCCTAACTTTTGATCGATAAGTCTTCGGTCTCTGACCAATATTCTCGTTAGTATATTGCAATATTTATTTACTCTCAAAATTTTCTAATCCTCCTGAAAGAGTCATGGAACTTTATAGCATTCCTTTTAATATCCATTTTTGGCTCTCCAGAAGTATGTGTACCAATATGGAGGTAACTAATTTTGTTCGCCCATTTTACATCAAGTTGTGTATAATAGCACTGAAACCTACGGACAGGGGGATATTCACTTGGCTAACACAGACAGTCCCCGAACTCGCAATAGGACTAAAATAAAGAAAATCGGAATAAAATTATGGCCTAACCCTATCCTGGTACACACACTACGGGAGTACCTCATTTTTTATTTTAGCTTCGACGACATTTTTGAAAAAATTCAACATTTATTGACAAAAGCGTTGGCGTATGCAATCCATCATCGATAGACTGTTAAGAAAGCTTTGGAAAATTCTGAATTTTTGACTACGACTCCAGAACTCGGAAAGTTTGAAAATCCGACTGCGATCTATAGCCATTATTATTCGAGATCCAAATTAATTACAAAATCTAAGTAGTACATATATATATAGCAATTAACCCCCAAATGTGCCCCATTTCGTGTTGAAATTATCAAAATTAATTTTCCCAAATTTTTAATAAGGATTTTTGTAGAAACAATTTATAAAATTTAGGAAACGAGACACTTGTTTTGTTCATGGCTATTATCAAATTTAAATTCATTTCTCACCAATTAAATCTACGGTCTGACAGATACGGCTCATATAAATACTTCGTAATTACTGAACTATTATGACGAGAACTCACGAAGTCACGTATATAAAAATAATAGGTTGTTTGAAAGACATATAACTAAGTTTTTCAATGTAAGTAAAAAGAGCTAGTCAAAGTTTAGTCTAGTCCGGAAAAGATTAAGGATTTTATTCTGTGTGTTTTGAAAATATACGAATCAAAACAAGTAGAGATTTTTAAACCTCTCTTCATCTACTTTAGGGTAATCTTTACCGACAGTGATCGTTTGTAGATCATCTATTCACGGGCTTGTCAAACCCTAGTCAGTCACTTCGGGGACATCTCATTATCCCTACACATATGCCAAGTAATATGTCTACCTGATGTTTCCACAAAATAGCATCTAACCTGCGGACGGTAGCATTCCTTAAGCCCACTGATGCCAGATCAGCTCCTAACTCTTTACATTTTGCTTTAGCAGTTGTGTAGTTGACTGGATTGCAAAATAGTTTGTAATAATAATTGTTGCTTGATTTATTCCATGTCTTGATGTCGTCTGTGCATATATATATATAATATTGGAAACGAGATTCAAAATGAGACAATCCCTTTGGTTTTAAATGGACGAAACGGGTATCGCGAAAACTCGTACAAGATTTGACAACAACTACCTCGAAGCAAAGTGGGGTACCGAGTTGTCAATTGACAATTCGAATACTCATGGCATTCTGGCCAGTGAGGAGCTAGCTCCCTACGAATATACATTTTTTTGTCTTAAGTTCAAATTGGAGTGTCGAAAACTGAAGCAATGTATAAATATATATTTACCGAGAGTTGATTTTTCTGTTGTAATTTCGGCATGAGTGGTCCACATCTGTGGAGAAGTAGCCGTTGTCTCACTTAATTGAGGATCGATAGATTGAAGAACTGTAAAATATAAATAATCATTTGCCAATCATAAAGCAAGATTAGTATATATATTGCTTGAGATGAAGAGTCTATTGTTTGAAAAGTAGGCCTTAGCCAGTTTTGAAACGGGGAAGTTACTATTTTGGTAAATATTCGAGTAGTTAAAAAATGAGTTCGATGAAAATGGCTTTTTACTATGACTGTGTCATACAACATATTACCTGGAGTGATGTAAACGACCATCAAGTCGAAATATCTGAAAACAAATAACTAATCTCATACCCGACATGGACCGGACAAGAGGCCATGGTTCGACCTTTGATTAAGCCATTTTATCGACTTTCCTCCCCCTCAGGATAAATAGGACAATCCTATTCGTTATTGCATCACTAAACTTTTGAGTGAGTGCTCGAGACCTTGCTTTGAGCAAATTTCCTTAAGTAATTTCGCACTTTTCATGTTTTAGCGGTGGCGGGGGTGTTCTATTCGAATGAGGGGTTTCCGCAAAGAATCAAAAAAAAATTTATGGACCAGGAATTGACAGAGTAAAATATTGTTCATTCCATTTTCCAATAAATTTTTTTTAGCCTTCTGATTTCTTCAAAAATAAAACGGGGGTCGACGGGTGCTTTCTTAAACTAGAAAAATGCACAAACATATAATGTACACAAATCTTCTCGATAGGCTACCAGCACTTGAATATAGACGGTAAACATATATATTATACCAGTAGTTGATTTTTCTGTTGTCATTTCAGCACGAGTGGTACACATCTGTGAAGAAGTAGCTGCTGTCTCACTTAATTGAGGATCAATAGATTGAAGAACTGTAAAATATAAATAATCATTCGCCAATCATAAAGCAAGGCTAGTAGGATAAATATATTGTTTGAGGGCCTAGCCGGTATTATAGTTTTTTAAACGATCAGGAAAGTTACTAGTTTTTGAAATATTCAGGTGGTTAAATAATGAGACGACAAAATGGCTTCATAATATGACCGTGTCATACAACATATCAACTAAAATAATGCAACCGACCATCAAGTCCAAGTACTGTATCTGAAAACAAATAACTGGCTAACTAATCTCATACCCGACATGGACCTGACGAGAGGCCGTGGTTTGCAATTCGATTAGGTCATCTAATCGACTTTCCTCTCCCCAAAGATAAACAGGAAAACGCTATTTTTCATGTCTCGCCCCAATCCCAATTTGACATTATAATTCGTTATTGTCTCACTAACTCGTGGTACCTCTGAGTGAGTACTCGAAACATTTCTTTGAAATTTCCTTATATAAAAAACAAAATCGAATTCCCGGGTTCATAGAAGCAACAATTATATATTAGAGCAATATTAAGTCAAATAAGGCAATAATAAGGCAAATATCATCATAACCTGTTGTGATTTCATATTCTGCTGCATTTTCCGATAGCTTCTCTTCCAAGTAACGTTGTAGGTCAGGATGGTTTCTTAATTTTTCTAGGCAAGATTCAATTGAGTGATTGTTGAAAATATCGAAATATTTATTATCATGTACTATTATACAGGTATATTATCATGTATTATTATCAATAATACTTAGTAAATCTACATCTAATTTGCGTCATTGTAAATGTAAAGCGTCAAACACATCGAGATTTTAAATATTAACCGAGGGAGTTCGCCAATTACAACATAGCCTGTTAAAACATATAAACTGCCTATATATGTTACTCTCTACGCTTAAGTGAAAAAAACAGTCAGTATAGTCATTTCGTTTTAAGCAGCGTTGTAGTCGTGTTGTAATTTTGTTCCGAACAAATGTTTAAACTTACTTTCCAGATCTTCAAGCTGTATAGAAAGAAATTCACAGCGTTAGTATATATTTGATAGGAAATTGATCTTGGGATTAATTTAGACAGATTATTGCTTTCGTTTGCTACCGAGACCATCGGTTAGTTAAATTTTCAAGTCTTGAATAATTGGTTATTATTTATATTTTCATGGCACCACCTAGTGTTTTTTTTGTTAGTCACATGTCTTCACGCTCAATCGCTTCCGGCGCGCGAATGTAAACAATCGGCATGAAGCCGAAGGTGGGGGGTAGGATAGGATTTACATATTTCTCCCAGGGGGAGAGAAAAGTCGATAAGACGACTTAATTATATGGCGATCTACGGCCTTTCGTCTGGTCAATGTCGGAAATGGGATTAGTTAGCCAGTTATTTGTTTTCGGAAGCATGGACTTGAGGGTGGTGGAAGCCGTAAACGACCAGCGGTTACGTGAACCACCCTGCGGCAGCGAGCAGTCCGTCCAGCAATCCTATCGCACATAACTATTTTCCTGCATGGTATTCGAACCTGCGAACCCACGCAGGGCAATGGCGAGGGCAGTCCCAACGCTTAGCACGATGCGCTACACCGCAATGGTAACGGTAGTCTAGTTTCTGCTGTCTTCGATATGTACTTGGGTCTTCCTATTATTTTTTAGTTATTAAATCAGTATTAATATATCGTTGCTTTATATTTACCACCGTATCATAGTACAAAAGACCTAGTATGAAAGTATATTGCATAATGCTACGCTTACTGAAGAAAAGTTTATTTCAAAAGTCTTCTTGTCGTCAGTACAGGAGGGTTTGTTCGATTTGTCTGAATGATAAAAGAAAAAACGAGTTGCCGATGTTCACAAGCTAATTATAAAAATATTGTGACATCAAATCGATATTTCCAGTGTATTTGAAAAAATTTCCAATTTGAATAAATTTTGAATAGATTCCTGTATTTAAAGCACAATAACAATAAACGCTTCAATCATGAGCTTCAAATGGTTATTGTTGACAAAATTGCAAATAGACATTGTTCTATCGGAAGGGTTGAGAACCCTCCCTCTTTAATTAACATTCATTTCCCCCGCTCCCGTAGTATGTGAATCAAGATGGCGGACACCAGAACGTAGTATGTATTGCAGGTTAGGCCATAATTTAATTCCAATTTTTCTTATTTTAGTTCTATTACGATTTTAGCAACTGTCTGTGTTAGTCAAGTGAATATATACCCTGCCCATAGATTTCAGTCCCTTTACACAACTTGATGTAAAGTAGGCGAAAAAAATTAGTTACCTCAAATTGGTACACATACTTTTGAAGCGCCAAAAAAAACGTAAAAATTTAGTAGCCCATTGTTAAAAACGTAAGTAGGAAGTATACATTTGAAACGTTTAAAAAAGCAGGAACTGCCAATCAGTATATAGCATGATAAGTGGAAAATAATACATAAATATGAGTCGATAGAAGTCAGTACATATTAAAGTTCGAATGTTAAGTCAACTTTCTGTCCTATGATACGCAATAGCGGATGTCGCTGTCGTTAAGATTGGCAATTTATAAGCATTTTATAAGCTTTTTGGTCTGGGAAATTCCGATACAATAGATGGGGGGTCATCAAACTTTTTTGATCGAGGGCCAGGTATGACTCAAACTGTGTTGAAAACACACAAAAGTTGGGGAATCCATTCAATTTATTCAACCACATAAATTCGACATTTCTGAAGTCTTGAATATTAAATTCTATATCGCAGAATATAGATCAAGAACAATATAGAAAAACAAATATACAAGATTTCTAGACAACTGTCCTGAAACGTATCCGAGAAACGTACAGAACAACAGTTTCGCGAGGTACGAGGTATTGTTTACAACCACGACTGAAAATCTGTCTGAATGACAGAAGTGTCTGAGCGGATGCGAAAAGGCCTAGTGTTACGTCACCCTTGCATCTTGCTGATTGGCCAATTTTACGAAATAAACAAGGAAATCGATGCCCGGGAAAAAATATTCCTTGGAAAAAACATTCGCCGTTTTTTCGTGTTATTGCGAGCCAAATGAAAGAGTGCCAAGGGCCGGATCTGGCCCGCGGGTCGTAGTTTAATGAACCCCGCAATAGATGATTGAAGGTATCGAAGAAAACAAATAAAAATGTTCAACCTATGGCCACTATTATATAACTAAATGGATTTCAACCTTTTTATTGGAACGGAACACCAATAAAGATTTCAGAGACTCGAGGGAGAAGACTTGTGAAACACATTTAATATAACAGTGTATTTATATTCAAACATTCATTTAATAATACAGACTCCCGGAATTGAAAGTAAACTTGCGGAACCCCTGGACTGGTGGAACCCTGATTGAAAGCCAGTGATATAACCATTTTGTAACTAGGAAAATGGTAATCGATTCTTCAAGGTACAAAAAAGTTAAAATTTAACAGATTAAATTCCTACCATTAGCACGGCTCTTTCCAGTTTGTAAAAGTAAAAGCAGAAGAAATATTTTGATCCCAGCCTTCATGTTGAAGAAACAACTTTTTAGCAGTTTCGATGGTAAATCATTGGACGAGTGGTTCCCAATCTTTCCTGATTCGCGGTGCTCTTCAAAAGACTGTCAGTCCTTGTGCTTCAATAACAAACCTAGATTTTTTATTAACACGTTTTATCAGTTGTTTCATACTACTAAACAATACTACTAAAAACAATAGAGCAAAGAAATAAAGTCAAAAATTTCAACAGATCACTGTTAACTATATTAAATTAGTATAGTCATCGCCTATCGTACATAGTAGAGGCGTTTGAGGCTTTCAGATAAACGCTTCCTAGCCCCCTAGCCCCCTGCATAAGAAATAAACAAGGATTTTTACACTTCAAATTATTTCAACTCTCACTCGATTATTTTGGATTCAACATTGATGTAATCGAATAATCTTTACGTCGGGTTCATCATGTTCCCCATTTATGACATTGATCCAGAATTCCACCTCAAGTCGCAATACACAAGGATATACTACTATAAAACAACTACTCCCACTGCACGCATAAGTTTAGATTTAGTTCAATTCTTATGCTGGTTACCGTTCGCAATAGCAACGATGGTTTTATGCAACATCGTACTCGTACAGATGTGCGCAATAGCAACGATGGTTTTATGCAACGTCGTACTCGTACAGATGTCGGCCCTGTTAATATATCCATTTTTATGCTGTCACTGTATTGCGCTTTGTATGCGTCGCATTGGTATTTCCGCTATTTTTGACCTGGAAAATTCCGATACAATGAAGTTATCAAAGAAAACAAATAAAAATGTTCAACCTGCCACTATGGGAAATTTACAATCGACTCCGAATTTTTTTTACTGACAATCGGACGCACGCCGTAGCGGATATTCGGTTTCTACTCAGCCAATATGACTGTACAAGTGTACAGCATTACTCACGTGCATCGTAATAACAAAACACGAACGGTAAGTTATATTGATTTCCGTATCCAATTATTGAGTAAGTCTCCGTTTGGCATGATCTGATCACGAACCGTAGAATATTTTTGATCTATACTTCCGTTATGTATACACTCATTCGAAACATATTCATACCGTCTGTGACAATGTTCGCAAGCGGTGTAGTTTTCCATAGCTTAATGTCTTACAAGAAGAAAACCTTAGTCTAGGATTGAGGCCTCAAAACAGATCGGCCTGTTTCAGTTGTGTTACGTTTAACCAGCATAAGAATTGAACTACAACTTAACTTCTGTGTGTAGTGTGTACTAGAAATAGTTGTTTTATAATAGAAAATCCTTGTATTTTTCGGCTAGCTTTGGAACTCTGGATCAAGATTAGTGCCATATGATGAACCCGACGTATAGAGATTATTTAATTTTATCAGTATCGAGTCAAAAATATTCTAATGACAGTTGAAAATAATTTGGAGTGTAAAAAGCCTTGCTTATTATTGTATCTAAACAAGCAACTCAAAGGTGGTGATACGGTAATCTCTTTCCTGCTGTTTTCAACCTTTTTATTGGAACGGAACTCCAATGAAGATTCCACAGACTTGAGGAACCTTTGTATCATTCACAGAACATTTGTAAAATACATATAATATACCAGTGTGTTTATATTTAAACAATATTCATTTCATAATACCATTCCGGGATTAAGAGTAAACTTGCGAAACCCCTGGACTGGTAAAACGTTGGTTGAAAATCACTGATATTACCATTTTATAACTTGGAAAATGCTAATCGATCAAGGTACAAAAAGTTCAACAAATCAAATTTATACCATTCACACGGCTCTTTGTAGTGTGTGATAGTAACAGCAGAAGAAATAATTTGATATCAGCCTTCATGTTGAAAAACTTTCATGCTTCGCGGTCTGCACTAGATTTGCTATTAACACGTTTCTAGCAGTTGTTGCAGTGTCGACTTTACTTCGATAAAACGTTGAAACGCTACTTGCAGAAGTAAAATAGATTAAAAAGTTATTGAGAAAATGAATCTCTACCTTATAGGAACGCTTTGCTTGTTCATCATTAATATATCTTTGGTTGGAGGAGGTAATTTTTTGATTTTTAGATTTTTTTTCCTTCAATTTTTTTTTATTGTGATAAGTAAGCACGAGTGGGCGCGATGACCAAGTTGTTAAAGCGTTAGATTTAACTATGTTGGCATCGCAGATCCCCACCTCACCCAGTGCGTAAGAAATTGGGAACTCTATGGCGAACCGGATATATATTATTCTTTGCCTAATTTTGTTTGCCTACCTTACTTCAAGTTGTATAAGGGAATGAAACCTATGGGCAGGGGTATATTCACTTGGCTAACATAGGTACTCTCGAACTTGTAATGGAACTAAAACTAGGAAAATCGAAATGAAATTATGGCCTAACCCTAACCTGCGGTACATACACTACGGGAGTACCTTGTTCCGAGCAGCGAATACACCGTATAACAATTGGAAACTTTATGCGTATTGTGCGCATTTATGTTACAGGTGGTCATTGTTATACAAAATGGAAGAATGGGCGCTGGGTTTCTGTTGGAGATTGCAACAATCCCAGTGCTGAAGGTAATTTTATATTTCTATTAAATTTCGATTAATCTGAGTGGCGGTGTTAGAGTCGAAGTGTGACTGTTGAATTACCAAGAACCTTTAGGTTGAACATTGAGAAAACGGGATATAAGAATGTATAAACGACTTCTTTCTATAAGGGAAAAATTAAATATAATTACATACAGTGATTAATATTTTACAGCAGTTGTGTGCACCTGCGGCCCGCGGGCCAAATGCGGTTTACAAGAAAAAATTGGGCTACGCACGGAGAAGTGCCAATTTGGAATGTTGTGAGGCCCGCGAAACGAATTTTTAATAAATCTAGATATAATTCGTTGGTACGTGCGGGCGATTCCAATCCCTTTGCGTTGGAAAGCCTATAACTGAGTCCGATTCATTATCTATGCCTATGACGTTACAATGCACTAACAGATAACTTGTGTGAAGCGAACAAGGCATGTTCTAAAAATCAATAACCAAAATTTTTGTGCCTGCAAGTACTAGAAAATCTATGTTAATTTGAATAAAGGTGCGAGCCGCAGTTTCACCCGGTTATTTGTATCCGGCCCTCCTGTAATTAAGGTTGCACCCCTCTGTTTTATAGCATTCAGTACAGCGATTGATTCAACCCAATTATAGGGAAATTTAAAATAAACAGTCTTGAGAAATTGAGAAAAACATATATTTTTGATTTTTAAACTTCAACTTTTTTATTGAAACACTTTGGTGAATATGTCTTTAAACTTTGATTAGAAACTTAGTCTAAAAAGCAACCATTCTTTGTAAGTTTGTCGTTTTTTTTTTTAATTCAATATTCGTTTTTTGTCTTGACACCCTCGATGGTTTAGATATTTTCCTATTTTAAACTTCTATGTCAAATCTTTTTCAATAAATTTAGTATACCTGGCTTCCTGTCTCGTGATTTTTCGAAAGGTTTACTCACTAATTAAATTAGGCCTATTGTGTCTTGGCAATAAAAAATAAACACTCTCACATTTTACTAACTCGAACTTCAATCTTTATTTATAGATGTTCTGAGACAACTGAGAAAAAGTGTCAAAGCAAAAGGTGAACTATTTATCTCATTTTGAATTGAACTAATTTTGAGACTGCTTTCAATATCTTTTACCAAAAAATCGAATCATAAAAATGTTATAAATTTATTATCACAAGCCAAGAGCATATGGCGTAAGTAGTATATCATGTTGTCTACGTTTCCGAAATGAGCCGCAATGAGCCACATAGATGAGCCACATAAACCACATAAATGAGCCACATAAGCCACATAATCCACATTATTCCACAAACTAACGGACAGTTCACCGTGACAGGACATGTCCAGCTTTTCGGTCAGGTATTAGAGTATTCGCGAATTGGGGAGAGAGAAAAATCGCGCTATTGTTTAAATTTCGCCCTTTAATTGATAAGACTTCGAGGAATTGGGGAGAGAGAAAATTCGCGCTATTGTTTAGTTTTCGCCCTTTAATTGATAAGACTTCGTCAAACTGGGGAGAGAGAAAAAGTCGCGTTATTGTTTTAACGGGGTGGAATCGCTTGTCGCGTTATTGTTTAAACGGTGGTGGAATCGCTTGTATAATTAATAAGACTTCGGCGAACTAGGGAAAGAGAAAAATCGTGTTATTACTTTATGGGGGTGTAATCAATCGTATTTTCGCTCTCTTGATCGATAAGACCTCAGCGTGATGAAGTGAGTTACCGTGAATAATTAGATAATAAAACTGCGTGAGAAGATCTGCGCAATCGTTTTGTTTAAATGGAATAGTGTCTTATTATAAACGAAGAAAGAGTTTGTTGAAACTTGATCAATGCGAGAAAAACATCATGATTGCTTGACTGTGATAAACTGTTTTACTTTTGAAATATTCTGAGGCTTATGAAGAAAATATCAGCTATGTTTGTAAGTGAATCTGCGCAATCGTTTTATTTTAATGGCGTGTGCCGTACACAACAAGACTTGCTGTGTAGCGCTGTTACACTGTTTGTTTTTATAAAGAATGTAAAAGAGAGAAAAATTATTTACAGAAAAATCTAGTTATTTTTACGATTAAACAAAATCGGAAATATATCACTCCGTGAATTTATAGGAAAATTAACTAAACAGTGGTGATACAGTGAAATGAAACGAAACCTTAAACAAAGGAATAAAAAATGAAATGCGAGTGGGATTGCTGAAATTTTGACGATGAATTTTATCCGGTTATTTGTTAACGTATGCTTTTTTACTAAATATCTCGTTAAATATGACGAAATAGATTCAGCGTGACAAGTAAAACCCCCATCTGGAATATTGTTGCTATTATGAATAAAAAGTCGGTTAGGTTTTTAAGGTTTGCAGCTTTAATAACAAAACTAACGCAGTATCCACCATTTCGTGTAGTATCAGACCACATAATTTATTTTATACCACTGGTCGTACTATGCGGGGCGGCTTTGTAGTTTTAACATATTGAGACTGCTGTGTGAAAGGTTTCTCAGAAATGAAGAAAATGTTTTATGCTTTGGCGTGCGATTAATTTTAATGAGTGAAGTAGAAAAGTTTAAATGTTAGTTGAACTGCGGTAATTCTTGCGATGGTATCTAATAATACATCATAAAAAATTCAGCATGCGTCAATTTATTAGCGTGTGCATATTTATTAACAAATCTTCAAATGTGGCAAATATTGAATGCTCAGTAATGAACTAATAAAATTATTTTGTTAATACTTCTGACATTTGATACATTGGTATAAATTTTATGTAAAGATAAAATGTTGATTAAGCAATTGGAACGATTCTTTTTTTTGCTTCGATTTTGTTTAGTCGACCAGAATGAAAGTTGTATTGCCCGTAACTGATTTGCTGAAAATTGACAGAGCTGTTTCTATTTTAGTATTTTATTATGATAGAATTAATTTGGCCCCGTATTACACTCGGTAGAGATGTAGCTACGTAATATGCATATGAGTGTAACCATGTTACGATACTAAAATATCGCTATGGCCATGATAAAAATTACAAAGATTTTGTTTTCATTTATGAAACATGTATACAAACAAATGGCGGTTACACACATGTATATATGTCCCGAAAGTTTATATATTCCAAACAGATTGTGAGCCACATGACTTTATTTAAGTATCTTA